CCCACCCCTAAAAGAAGCCCTCCCTCCATCAGCAGCCAGTCCTCACCCCTCCCGCCCCGTGGACATCCCACGTGAACAGAATCACGTGGGTCTGGCTCCTCTCACTGAGCACCCTGTGCCCAAGCTCCATCCACACTGTGGTGAGTGTCAGCGCTTCGCTCCTTTCGTGGCTCAGTGACCCTCTGCTGTGCGGGCCACGTTCTGTCACTCTTTTGTTGATGGCCTTGGGGCTTTCACTTTTGGGTGCATGAATTGTGCTGCTCTGAACATGTGTGTGCGAGTTTCTGCGTGGACGTGTGTCTTCGCTTTGGGGGAGGGGGTGTTCATGAGCGGAATTGCTGGGTCACGCAGTGGCTCTGTTTGAGGAGCTGCCAGTGCTGTGTTCCACAGCGGCCGCACCATTCTCCATTCTCCATGCCATCTGTCCGTGGGCGGGTTCCCGTTTCTCCGCAGCCTCACCAGCACTTGATACTGTCTTTTGTTGTTAATCCTCACCCAAGGATATTTTTTCCATTGATTTTTAAAATATATTTTTTAGCCAAAACCGGTTTGGCTCAGTGGATAGAGCGTTGGCCTGCGGACTGAAAGGTCCCGGGTTCGATTCCGGTCAAGGACATGTACCTTCGTTGCAGGCACATCCCCAGTGGGGGGTGTGCAAGAGGCAGCTGATAGGTGTTTCTCTGTCATCGTTGTTTCTAACTCTCTATCCCTCTCCCTTCCTTTCTGTAAAAAATCAATAAAATATATAATTGATTTCCGAGAAGAAGGTAGAGGGAAAGAGAGGTAGGAACATCAATGATGAGAGAGAATTATTGATCAGCTGCCTCCTGTACGTCCCCCACTGGGGACAGAGCACACAACCAGGACATGTGCCCTAGCCAGGAATTGATCCAGACCTCCTAGTTCATAGGTCAACGTTCAGCCACTGAGCCACGCTTTTCCATTGCTTTTTAGAAAGAGTAGAAGGCATGTAGGGAGGTAGGAGGAAGTGAGGAGGAAGGAAGGAAGGAAGGAAGGAAGGAAGGAAGGAAGGAAGGAAGGAAGGAAGGAAGGAAGGGAGGGAGGGAGAGAGAGGGGTGGGCAGAGGTAGTGATGTGTGAGAGATGTGAGAGAGATACACCGATGGTTGCCTCCTGCACGTGCCCTAAATGGGGGCTGAGTATCGAACCTGCAACCCAGGTACATTCCCTTGACTGGAAATTGAACCTGTGACTCTTTGGTGCTTGGGCCAATGATCTAACCACTGAGAAACACCGGCCAGGGTGATATATATATATATATTTAAATATATTTTATTGATTTTTTACAGGGAGGAAGAGAGAGGGATAGAGAGAAACATCGATGAGAGAGAATCACTGATCAGCTGCCTCTTGCACCACCCCCACTGGGGATGCGCCCGCAACCAAAGCACATGCCCCTGACCGGAATCGAACCCGGGACCCTTCAGTCCGCAGGCCGACGCTCTATCCACTGAGCCAAACCGGTCTCGGCCGATATCGTCTTTTTATGAGCCGTCCCCGTGGGTGTGAAGTGATGGATCGTTAGTGGCCAAGGATGTGGACCACCTTTTCAGCTGCTTATTGGCCATTTGTTTATCTTCTTTGGGGAGACGATCAATATTCTTTATTTAAATATAACGCACACACCATAAAATTCATCTTCTAAAGTGTACACTTCACTGGCTTTTGGTGCCGCCAACTAACTCAATGGTGTTCTGTATGCGTATGGCCCCAGACTGGACAGAACGTGAAGCACCCCAGACCCCATGCCCCATTCCCCTCACACGGTGGCCTGTTCCACCCTCTGTTGATTTTACTTTTAACCTGGCGGGTGGAGGTGCCTGCCGAGTCCATTTCAGGGGAGACGGGAGCGCCCAAAAGGTTTTGTAATAAGGAACTGGCGTGGGGTCTAGAGGGAGGATCCCCAGGAGAGCAGGGGCCAGATCTTTTTTCTTTTTTTGGTCTTAGGTGTGTTCCCAATGCCTGGTCCCAGTTGGTGCTCCATAAATGCTCACTGAGCAACTGAATGAATGTTCTGGCACAGCCTCTAAAGCCGTGGTTCTCAACCTTCCCAGTGCCGCGGCCTTCAATCCATTCCTCCTGATGTGGTGACCCCCAGCATAAAATTATTCTCGTTGCTACTTCTTAACTGTAATTTTGCTACTGTTATGAGGGTCACCACAACAGGAGGAGCTGTCGCGGCATTGGAAAGGCTGAGAACCACGGCTCTAAAGCTCAGTGGCCTTTGGCTGTAATGAGAGTGGGCTACGGCATCTGCTGGGCAGGGGCAGGGACCGAGCCGTCTGGCCCTGAACTTCGGCAGTTCCCGGAAAGACCCTCACTCAGAGGGGCTGGCCCTCTCAGGCCGGCTCGCCCTCGGACCTGTGTGAGCACCGCAGGCAGGAAGGAAGGCCAGCGTTTATTTTGATCCATGACCTGTTTGCAGTGTTTCTGGCAGAACAATGGGTGGGAGGAGGGGCGGGCATGCAGCTGGCCGGCCCAGGTGCGGGTCAGGGACCGGCTGGAGGGGCTGGAAGTGCGGAGGCCGGGAGGGAGGCTGCAGCTGCCTCCACTCCCACCCCTTTTCCTTCCTGCTTGGGGAGGGGGTGCTGTGGTGGCCCGGGCTTTCTGAAGACTGTAAACAGGCTCAACTCTCCTAGAACCTGCACACCAAACCCCAGACCTACAGGTGGGAAGGCCAAGGCCAGAGAGGGGCAGAGCCTGCCTGGGCTCACACAGCAACCAAAACAGGCGGAAGGAACGGGGCTCCAGGGCCCTCGGGGTCCAGAGCCGGGCCTCAGCCCTGGCCTCGGAGAATGTTCCTCTCTGAACCTCAGTTTGCCCATCTGTAAACTGGGGAGATTAGAGCCAGGCCTTGGGAGCACTCTCTCATCCCAGTGTTCGCAGACTTCCTTTCCCTTACACAGTCCACAGACACGGCCGCCTGCTCTTAGTGCCAGGCCCCGGGCTGCCACTGGGGACGCGGGGTGAGCAGCTCCTGCACGTGCCATTGGGCCAGCGAGGCGGGCATGGCCACCAAGGTCCTGGGGCCACAGTGGAGGATGCCCAGGGCGTCGAGGGAGCCAGGGGGCACCTGGCCCAGCCTGGGGCCTCTGGGAAGGCTTCCAGGAGTGGGTGACAGTGATGCTGTGACTTGAAGGATGAGCAGTTTATAGGAAGAGTAAAGGGAATGGGATAGAATGTTCTAGAGACACTGGTATTTGTGCCCAGTGGCCATCCTGACACTGCTGCTGTCACAGAGGCTTCACATCCAGGTGGCTAATAGCTTCGAGGTCCAGCTCCTGCCTGTTACGGAGCGAGTCCCCAAAAGATGGATCACCGAAGCCAATTTGATTAAGCCAGCAAGAATTTATTATAGATTCGAATCCGGGCTCAAACCGTGGCTGACGCAGCAGCCGGCAAACACCCAGGTGAGAGCCCCAATGGAGGGGCAGTCCCTCCAGAGCACTCATACAAAAACACAGACAAACACACACCTACCGCGGCCAGCCAGGCTCTCCGGACCGGGTCCCTCATGGTCCTGGCTGGGGATCCCAGACGAATTCCTGATCCCCAAGGACCACCAGGGAGCCGAGTCCGATACAATAGACAAAAGAGCCTTTTCCATGCTAGCATGGGCTCTGTCCCACTCACGCCGGCAGCATGGCGGAAGAGAGCGAACTTGGCCCAGTCCAGGGGTTTTACTCAGGTCGGTGGTGATGTCACTGCCTCGGCTGACCCTGATTGGCCCTCAGGACAAAGGACTGGCCGTCCTTATCTGTTCCTGAATCCTAAAGACTAAATTCTAAAGACTGGGGACAGCCTGCAGGGTGGGTTCCCAGTCACACCCTGCTGGACATTGGAATGTGGCCCTATCTTGCCCAGAATACAAAAGCAGAACTAAAGGTTATCTATAGTTTCTACCCCTGAAGCTACTGAGTCAGTGGGAGTCAATCTCCTGTAACTACCCTATTGTTTAAGCAAGTAATCAAGGTTGAAGTCAGATAGCAAGGTTAAAATTCGAAGGGCAGTTTTTACCCAAGTATGATTGCTACCATGTTTCACTGCCCAGGGGGCGGGCACAGTTTGGCGGGCATTGGGGTTGGCCAGGAGCTCCTGCTCCAGGGCAGTTAGTTCTTCCCCATTTTACAAAAGGGGAGACTGAGGCACGGGCGGTTCTGTCTCTTGACCCAGTGGTCGGAGGGCTGGCTTTGTCACGCGGGACAGCCTCCCTGGACTCCCTGGGTGCCTTGCGGTGTCAGCTGGCGGCTGTGGGCAGCGCGCTGGGGAGCACTGTGCTCCTGGGTGGCCTCGGGACGGGCTCAGCCTCTGTGCTTTCTTTGGCAGAACGGGCAGCCTGCCCCATACCCGGCGGAATGGCAAAACGGGCACATGTGCCAGCGCAGGGCCGCCACACGGTGCTGAGTCAGGGGTCCCCTCCTGGCTCCGGCCTGTGTAGCCCCGGGGTCCGGTGACGGGGTGGGGGGCAGGGAGGGCTGCTCCCGGAATCCCTGTGGGCGCCCTAACCTCCGGAGGGCGTGAGGGCTGGCCTTCTCCGGGGTCTGAGCTCCACAAAGACAGGCTTTGTAGGAGCCTGTGGGTGTGAGTGGGAGCCACAGGGCATTCCTGGTTGGCCGGCCTGGGCCAGGGTGGGGGCGGATTCTGACCGGGGCCTGGGGCAGCGGGTGAGGCTGGGGGTGGGTCTCGGGTTCCTCTTACTCCTGGATCTCCAAGGACACAGCGGGTGAGGCTTCTGGCCCTTTGCTCCCACTGTGGCCTGGGGCGGGCAGACCAGTGCGGGGGGGGGGGGGGGGGGGGGGGGGGGGGGGGAGCAGGATGGGGTGCCTGGGGGCATGCCTTCCCTCAGGACAGCTTTCTGGAGGAGCTGAGGGCTGAGCCTGCCAGGGGAGAGGCCGGGCATTGCGGGGCGGACAGGAGGCACCAGGGCAGGGGCAGGCCCGGGCCGTGGGACTGACGCTGCTCCTCTGACCCGGCAGGCTCATGGACACCTCCAGCACCAAGAGCCTGGCCCTGCAGGCCCAGAAGAAGCTCCTGAGCAAGGTGGCGTCCAGGGCGACGGTGAGCGCGTTCCTGGACGACGCGAGCAGCGAGGTGCTGGACGAGCTGTGCCGCGCCACCAGGGCCTTCACCCGCAGCCGCAAGGAGGCCCAGAAGCTGCTCCGGAACCTGGTCAAGGTGGCCGTGAAGCTGGGCCCGCTGCTCCGCGGCGGCCAGCTGGCCGGGGAGGAGCTGGCGCTGCTGCAGCGCCTCCGCCAGGGGGCGCGCCGGCTGGCCCTGACGGCCGTCAGCTTCCACCAGGTGGACTTCACCTTCGACCGGCGCGTGCTGGCCGCCGCCCTGCTCGAGTGCCGGGACCTGCTGCACCAGGCCGCGGGCCCGCACCTCACCGCCAGGTCCCACGGCCGCATCGACCACGTCTTCGGCCACCTGGCCGACTGCGACTTCCTGGCGGTGCTCTACGGGCCCGCCGAGCCCTACTGCTCCCACCGGCGCCGCATCTGCGAGGGGCTCGCCCGGATGCTGGACGAGGGCAGCATCTGACCGCCCTCCGCCTTCCTGCGGGGCCCGGGGGGAGGGGGGGTTATCGTATTTAATGACCTCTTTTTCCCCGGTCTGATTCTGGCCAAACTCCCCGGACAGGTGACCTGCCCCGTCAGAGGCTGCTGAACCGTTTACAGCAGCAGCTTCATGGACCCCTGTCACCTCTCCCACCTCCTCTCCGGAGAGGATTCGGCGTGGGAACAGCACAGCCTGCGAGGCCGGTGGCTCCTCACACACCGGGCCCCGTCCTGCGCCGTGACGGCCGATGGCACCCCTCAGCTCACTGACGCCGTCTGACAGCTGTGCTGCCCGCCGCAGGGTAACCCGGGCTTTTTAATCCTCCAGAGAGGAGTCACACTGGACTGGAAGGAAGGAACGGGGTGAGCAGGATCCCCCCTTTGTGGAAGTTCTAACCCCAGGACTTCCGAGTGTGACCCAAATGTGGAAAACAGCGTCGCTGCTGACATCATCGGTTGAGATGAGATCACGGTGGGCCCCTAACCCAGAGTGACCGGGACACTTCTAAAAGGGAGACGTTTGAACCAGAGGAGAATGCCATGTGAAGGTGGGATGTGCTGCAAAGCAAGGAACACCCAGGATGGCCAGCAACCCCCAGAGCCGGGAGGGAGGCTTGGGACGGCCTTGAGAAGGAACCGCCTGGCAGAAGCTGGGCCTCAGACTTCTGGCCTCTGTGACTCAGAGGAAATGCTCACCTTTCAGCCGCCCAGCCCAGGCAGCGGGCACAGGGAGCTATGAAGGGGGCTGCCGTGCGCTGGTGTGTGGGTGAGGACACCTCGATTTGCTTGGCATCCTAGCCCTGACTCCCGTGTGGAGGGGACAGAGTGCATTCTCCAGGCCCGGCACCAGGAAAAAGCCATCTGAGAGGCATGAGCATTTTCCAACAATCGTTTCATGTTTGAAAAACACACACACTAACAAATGTTGTTCAGTCCTCTGAAAGCAAAGCTCACAAATCTTGGCCTTGGGGACACCTTGGGGAGTTGATTCTCACACGTCAACAGATACATGGGGTGTGGGAGCGCATTTGCAAATTTTGTCAGAAGGTGGCATCGATTGCAAAACAGGACTACAGGTCTTGCCATGCCAGGAAGGTTGTTCTGGGTGCCCAAGAGAGAGGGGGAATGATCTGAGGACTCGGTCTAGTTCCTTCCGGGGCAAAGGTTGCAAACAGGAAGCCTGCAGGCCGTCGTGAGGAGACGGGTTTGCTTGCCCCACCCTGTGTTTGAGCCATCTGGGACCAGTTGACAACATTTGAAACTGGGGAATTGCACGTGCCAATCTAGATTTGGAGTCTCTCTCAAAAACTGCCTGCTGGTGAAGCTGCACAGAGGTTGCCCCTCTCTGCTTAGCCAGTCTCCACCGCTCCCTTTTGCCTCTCCCTGGCCTGAGGTGCTGGCTGATAAGATCACGCCCCCAGATTCAGGTCAGCCTTTCTGTGGTTTGGTTTCTGCTTCCTTGAAGAAGCCAAAGCCATTCCTACCTCCTACGTCACCGCCCAAGGCCAACCTCTCCAGTCAAGAGACAGATCTTCATGTTCAAGAGCAAACGTGCTTTGAGTGTCCTGAGAAGCCCCAGATGAAATTCTTTGCCCTCAGCTCTGCTGAATTTATCAATATGCACAATGCTTGTACTTGTTCCTTGATGGGCTGTTCTGCCTCTTGACTCTTTATAAGTTTGGGATTTAATTTTGAAAAACCAAAGAGCACTACAGAACAATTTAAATAAAAGCACATGGCATTATGTGAAACTGACTTGAATTGCTTGGTGCTGAGTTCTCTCCTTGCGGTTTTTGCCTTTTAAAGAACAATTTTTCTTGAGCCCTCCCTGGCTGGGGTGGCTCAGTTGTCTGGGGCATCATCCTATGCACTGAAGGGTTGTGGGTTCAATTCTGGGTTAGGCACATGCCTAGGTTGTGGGTTTGGTCTCTGGTTGGGGAGCATACGGGAGGCAACTGACCTATGTTTCCCTCACATTCACATCCCTCCCTCCTCCTTTCTTCCCAGGCAATAGGCATGTCCTCCGTGAGGATTGGAAGGGAAAAAAATCCTTAAAAAATATTTTTTCGATTCCAGTTGACATACAATATTATATTAGTTTCAGGTGTACTACATAGTGGTCAGACACTTATGGTCACTCGGCTAAGTCTAGTACTCACCTGGCACCATACACAGTTATTACAATATTATGACTATATTCCCGAGGCTGTATTTTATGCCCCTGTGACTACTATAACTGGCAATTTGTATTTCTTAATCTTTTCACCTTTTTTTTTTTTTTAAATATATTTTATTGATATTTTACAGAGAGAAAGGGAGAGAGATAGAGAGCTAGAAACGTCAATGAGAGAGAAACATCGACCAGCTGCCTCTTGCACTCCCCCTTCCGGGGATGTGCCCACAACCAATGTACATGCCCTTGGCCGGAATCGAACCCGGGACCTTTCAGTCCGCAGACCGACGCTCTACCACTGAGCCAAACCGGCTTCGGCGCTTTCACCTTTTTTACCTGGCCTCCCACCTCCTCCCATCTGGCAGCCTTCAGTTTGTTCTCTGTATCTATGAGTTTGTTCATTTTGTTTTTTATCTTTATTTATTTATTTATTTATTTATTTATTTATTTATTTATTTATTTATAGGAAGGGAGAGGGAAAGAGAAACATGGATGAGACAAATATCGATTGGTTGCCTCCCACAGCCTGGATGCATGCCCCGACGGGGAATCGAACAGGCAACTCCCGGGCCACCTTTCGGTGCTAGGGACGCTGCTCACCCAAGCCCAGCGCCAGGGCCACTCTGTCTTTTCCATTCCACGTATACGTGAAATCAGATGGTAACTGTCTTTCTCCGTCTGACAGCGTAATTCCCTCTAGGTCCATCCATGTTGTTGCAAATGCTAAGATTTCATTCTTTTTTCCATTGTATATATCTACCACACCTTTATCCATTTGTCTATTGATCAGCTCTTAGGCTGCTTCCATATCTTGGTAACTGTAAATAATGCTTCAGTGAACATAGACACATATCTTATTATTATTATTATTAATTTCAGAGAGGAAGGGAGGAGAGATAGAAACATCAGTGACAAAAAAGAGAATCAATCATTGATTGGCTGCCTCCTGCACGCCCCACACTGGGGATCGAGCCAGCAGCCCAGGCATGTGTCCTGACCGGGAACTGAAGTATGACCTTCTGGTTCATAGGTCAATGCTCAGCCAGTGCGCCACGCTGGCCTGGCAGCATACATCTTTTTGAATTAGTGTTTTTGTTTTCTTTGGATAAATACCCAGAAATGCAATTGCTAGATGGTATGACTGCTCTATTTTTAATCTTTGAGGAACCTCCATACTGCTTTCCATAGTGGTTTCACCAAATTTCAATTCCATCAACAGTGCATGAGGGTTTCCTTTTCTCCACATCCTCACCAACACTTGTCGTTTGTTGATTTATTTAAAATATATATATATATTTTATTGATTTTTTACAGAGAGGAAGGGAGAGAGCGAGCTAGAAACATCGATGAGAGAGAAACATCAATCAGCTGCCTCCCACACACCCCCCACTGGGGATGTGCCCGCAACCAAGGCACATACCCTTAACTGGAATCGAACCTGGGATCTTTTATTTATTTATTTATTTTTAATATATTTTATTGACTTTGTACAGAGAGGAAGGGAGAGAGATAGAGAGCTAGAAACATCGATGAGAGAGTCATCGATCAGCTGCCTCCTGCACCCCCCCCCACTAGGGATATGCCCACAACCAAGGTACATGCCCTCGACCGGAATTGAACCCGGGACCTTTCAGTCCCCAAGCCGACGCTCCATCCATTGAGCCAAACTGGTCTCGGCTGAACCTGGGATCCAGGCCGGTGTTCTGTCCACTGAACCAAACTGGTTTCAGCTCATTTGTTAATTTATTGATGATAGCCATTCTGACAGGTGTGAGATGGGTCTCATTGTAGTTTTTTAAAAAAATATATATGTATTTTATTGATTTCAGGGAGGAAGGGAGAGGGAGAAACATCGATGAGAGAATTATCGATTGGCTGCCTCCTGCGTGTCGTTCCCTATTGGGGATGGAACCTAAAACCTGGGCATGCACCCTGACCAGGAATCAAACAAGACTTTCTGGTTCATAGGTCGTCGCTCAACCATTGAGCCACACCAGCTGGGCCCAGCTGACAGTTTTATGGGAGCTCCTCTGTAAGTAACTTCCTGCTTTTAAGATTCTTGTCTTCAGCATTTGGCATTTTAATTATTATGTGTCTTGGTGTGGGCCTCTTTGAGACTCAGTACTTCCTGGCATTGTATGTCTGCTTCCTTTGTCAGGGTAGGGAATTTCCCATTATTACTTCTCAAAATAGCTTTTCTTTTCTTTTCCTTTTAAAATCCTCACCAGAGGATATTTTTCCCATTGATTTCTGGAGAGAAGGAGAAGGGGAGAGACAGAAACATCGATATGAGACACATCGATTGGTTGCTCCCTCACATGCCCTGACAAGGGCCAGAGATCAAGCCTGCAACCCAGGTATGTGTCCTTGACTGGAACAGAACCTGGGACCCTCAGTCAGCGGACCAACACTCTCTCACTGAGCCAAACTGGCTAAGGCTCAAATAGGTTTTCAACATCCTGCTCCCCTGATATCCTGATGATGCAATGTCGGTATGCCTGAGGTTGCCTCAGAGATCCCTTAAACTACCTTCATTTTTAAAAATTTAAAAATTATTTTTAAAAATATATTTTTATTGATTTCAGAGATGAAGGGAGAGGGAGACAGATAGAAACATCAATGATAAGAGAGGATCACTGATTAGTTGCCTCCTATATGCCCCCTACAAGGGATCAAGCCCGCAACCCGGGCATGTGCCCTTGACCAGAATTGAACCCGGATCCGTAAGTTTGCAGGACAATGCTCTATCCATTGAGCAAAACCAGCTAGGGCAAACTAACTTCATTTTAAAAGATTTTTCTCTTTTTGCTGTTCTAATTGGGTATTTTCCACCACCTTTGTCTTCCATTTGCTGACTTGATCCTCTGCTTCATCTAATTTGCTGTTGATTCCCCCTAGTGCAGTGATTTTCAAATTTTGCCTTTATATAAAAGGTGTAATTTTGATTCACACCAGATGGCTATTATTTGTGTTGGCTGTTGTTGTTTTCTTTTTACAATCGATGGGAAAAGAGGTCAGTGCCCCTGACTAAATAGTCAGGTATTGCATGTTTTAAAAAATTATTGTGGCTCTGACCCGTTTGGCTCAGTGAATAAAAGGTTGGCCTGTGGACCGAGAGGTCCCAGGTTCGATTCCGGTCAAGGGCATGTACCTTGGTTGTGGGCATATCTCCAGTAGGTGTGCAGGAGGCAGCTGATGGATGTTTCTCTGTCATCAATGTTTCTAACTCTCTATCCCTCTCCCTTCCTCTCTGTAAAAAAATCAATAAATATATTTAAGGGGGAAAAAAAGAATCATGGAGTCATCAAATAAAAGGATTCCCATTTCACTGGCTTCACGTCAGTTTTGCAGGGCGTTGGTGCCGTTTGAAGCCAGCCACTGGGTGTGTTGGTTCTGGAGCCTGAGAGGGATGCCCGCACAGGCCACGTTTGGCCGTGACTTAGGCCAGGCTTTGGGCCATTTGGAGAGATCTGTGGTTGGTTGCCACTGGTGCTGGCCGTAGAGGCACTTGGGAGAGATTATGCTATGAACGGAGGCTGGCTGCTCGGGCCCCTTTGGAGGGCGTTCCAGTGCGAGCCGAGGACAGCGCCACCTGTCAGGTCTGTGGCTGCTGAGTGGAAGCTGCATTCCAAGCCCAGCCTGGCTGCCATCTATGCCAGGCTTGCAGCTACCTGACGGGAGTTAAAACTCAAATTGAGACGGATCATGACGTGTGCTGGGATCGGAGCCACTAGGCAATTGCTGTGAGGTGCGCTAGGCTGGCCACTGCTTGTTTGGGATTTAGGGGACTTGGCGAAGTCTACAGCACAAGCCTCAGGGCGGCCATCACTCGTGTGAGGTTGTGGACTCTGCAGCGTGAAGTGAGGCAGGCTGCCTGTGTGGGAAAGCCGCTAGCAGCACTCAGGCGGGGTGAGTGGGTGAGCGGGGAAAGGTCCGAGTATTATGGGAGGGGTGGTGGTAGCCAGGTTAACACATTTGGTGCCTGCCTGGGCCTTCAGTGGGTTGGGGAGGCTCAACAAAGCAGCAATGGTGTCTGTGACACTTCTGTCTCCAGTCGCCCCACTCCCTGCTCCTGGAATCCTTGCCTGGAATTAACTCAGTTCTCTCCATAGTCCCTGGTGCTTTCTGAACCTCTGCCCCTGTGCTGCGTCTGAGTGAGTTGAGCAATGAGTCTGTTCTCAAGCCCTGAAAGAGCAGTGCCTCAGTTTCTAGCAGTCTCTCCTGTCTCTCCCAGAGGCAATCGCTGCTGGTTTCACAACCAGATGCAAAAACACTGGTGCCCGCTGCGAGGGGGCACCCAATTATATCTCCAGAGGATATTTTCCCAATGACTTTTAGAAAGTGGAAGAAAGGGTGGGGAGAAACATCAATGTGATAGAGACATATTGATTGGTTGCCTCCTACACAGGCCGCCACTGAGACCAGGGATAGAACCTGCAATCCAGGTACGTGCCTTTGACTTCGACGCATGGGCCAGCGCTCTAACCACTGAGCACACTGGCTGAGGCCCTCCCAATTCTTTTTATTAAATTATTATCTGTCTACATATTTTAACATTGCCCCACCCTCCCATACATATCCTCCCTCCCCAGAGTCTCCCAATTCTTTTTAAAAATATATTTTATTGACTTTTTTTTACAGAGAGGAAAGGAGTGGGATAGAGAGTTAGAAACATCGATCAGCTGTCTCTTGCACACCTCCTACTGGGGGTGTGCCTGCAACCAAGGTACATGCCCTTGACCAGAATTGAACCTGGGACCTTTCAGTCCGCAGTCCGATGCTCTATCCACTGAGCCAAACCAGTTTCGGCGGCCCTCTCAATCCTTAATTGCTACACACAGGTATGGAACCTGCCCATTCCTCAGCTCCACCCTCCCCTCCACTCAGCATGGCTTCTTTATAGTCCTACAGTTTTGTTCAACTGGTCTGCAGTGGTCCTCAAGAATGGCTGTTCTGTAATTTAGTTGTAACTTTGATGTGGTCATGGGAGGCGAGTAGTGTTTTCCCATTCTGCCATATTGATCAGAAGTTTGACCAGTTTTTGCCTCATTTATTTTTTAAAATCCTCATTCAAGGACATTTTCATTGATTTTTAGAGCGAAGGGAGGAAACATGGATAGGTTGCCTCTCGCATGTCCCCACTGGGGATCGACTCTGGGACCTTTTGGTACACAGGACAAAGCTCCTACCAACTGAGCCACACCAGCCAGGGCCAGTTTTTGACTTTTAAATTGAGGTTGGAGGTGAAGGTGGCGTATCTGTGGGCCTTGCCGAGGCGTGGTCTCTGCTGCACTTGCGCTGTGATGACGGGGTGGCCGAGTGGCCGAGCGTGGCTCTGCACGCGCAAGCTAGGGTTTAGTTGAGCCCTCCTCCTGATGGAAGGTCCTGGTGCCTTGTGGCTTTGTTCTTGAAAGTACCCAACAGCTACATAAAGATGCACACGTGTCACATGGGGCAGGGGAAGCTTCTGTGTGTCCCGAGATGCCTTCCCGTGTCCTGGCGCCTGGCACCCACTGTTCCCCCTTGGAGACACCCAGGGATTTGGTAGCGGAGACTCTGGGCTGACTGGGAAACTCCCCTTCCCTCCGCCGACACCTCAGGGCCGTGCCAACTGTCCAGTGTGGCAGGAGGCCGGGACGATCGTCTCTTGGCTGTGGTGACCCGGGCTGGCTGGGCTCACCGGGCTGAAGCTGGGCCGACCCTCCCAGCACGTGCAGCCTTCAGATCTCCTCTCCGAGGCGGAGGAGCCGAGGCTGGCTGATTCCTTCCCTGAACATCGTCAGGGCCCGCAGTCCCTCTTGGACGGTTGTTTTGAGAACAGTTATTCTTCACGCTCATGACCCCAATCTGAAACTGTCTGACTGCAGGCCGCCGGGGGTATGGACAGGTGAGTGAGTCTTGCTCTGCTGCCTACAAGTGAGACTTGTTTTTTTTGTTTTTTGTTTTTAAATATATTTTATTGATTTTTTAACAGAGAGGATGAGAGAGGAATACAGAGTCAGAAACATGGATGATAGAGAAACATCGATCAGCTGCCTCCTGCACACCCCCCTCTGGGGTCGTGTCCGCAACCAAGGCACATGCCTTTGACCGGAATTGAACCCGGGACCCTTCAGTCTGCAGGCCGACGCTCTATCCACTGAGCCAAGCCGGTTTTGGCTGCAGGTGAGACTTCGGACAGGACCCCAGATGCTCCCAGCTCACTGCTGCTCTGGGAAGTGGGCACAGCAGTGCCCAGGCCCTCAGGTTGGCACAGGTGAGTGAAAGGTACAGAGAGGCTCCGCTGATCCAACATGGTGACTCCAATTAGGAAGGACGATTCACAGCCACATGTTTGCTCATTGAGACACGGTCAGAAGTTAGACTCCGAGCCCCCCTACAGCCGGGAGACCAAGGCACCTCCGATCTGGGTTTCATTTATATTTATTTATTTGTTTAATCATTTATTTAATCGCCCTGCTATAACCTGGCTTTAGAAAACTAAGCAAAGCCACCACCTGGTCAAAAGAGCAGGTCAGCCGGGGAGCGGTCACCCCCCACCGGGGCCTGTGTGACCTGCTGGGTGCGGCGGGTCTGCCTGACGGTCCAGGGAGGCGCAGCCCGGGCCAGGAGCAGGCTCACGCTGCCCCCTCAGATCGCGTTGCTTTTGCACCTACAGAAAGGTTGTGCCTAAAACCCCGTGTCCTGGGGACACAGCCCCCCTGTTTCCAGGAGAGAAGGGGAGTGGGCAGCCAGTCTCCTGCTGCTGTCACCCCGGGCCCGTGCCCTCGTGCCCTGCCAGGTGGGCACCAGCACCAGACATCTAGGCGATGCAGTTCCTTTTCACTCTTTATTTAAATACAAAAGGACATTTCATTTCTTTCCAGTTAGTCTGGAAGGTGGTCTCTGGGGAAATTGTAATAAAAGAGTCAACTTGAGGTCAGAGGGCAGCAGGACTACTCTTCCCCGAGCACCGGAGCCTGGCCTCACCCCAAGGGGGCCACGCGGCGCTAGGAGAGCTGCGACCCCACCCTGTGCTGACGCCTCTCCTGGGAAGACCAGCAGCGGCGGCTCAGCCCCACGCTCTGTGTTCGAAGAGCGGGGTGGGGGGTGGGGGGGAAGATGGGGAACTGGTAGGGAGTCGGGGGAGACAGTACCGCTCAACCTCCTGGGCCCTGGCCTTTGCCCCAGGGCCTCAGCCACCCTGGGAACCCCTCTGAGGGCAGCATCAGCCAGGCGGAAAACAGCAGTGCCCCTAGAAAACCAGTAACGCCAGATCTCACAGGCACTGCCCTTTCGGCAGAGATGAGAAAGCCGCCCACAGTGGGCTGCCGGTCACAGCTCACTGCGTGACGCCTTGGCCACGATCACCAGCTTGGACAGCTCAGCCTTGAACGCCCCGGGCCTGTGGGACACTGCAAAATAAGAAACGCACGGTAGTGCCCGTGAGACCGCCCCGATGCTCTTGGGCCGGGGTAGGGCCCAGTGGGGACTGGCAGAGCGGGGAGCAGTCCCCAAAGCTAAGTGCATGTGGAAAGCAGCCCAGCCCTGAAAGTCTTACGGGTGAGACAGAAAAACGTGAAGAGGTTGGTGGGCCTTTCCTGAGGGCAGTGGGAGTCCACAGGAGAGTTCAAGGTGGGAAAATCATGGTCCTTTTCGCCACACTGAAAACGATGGCAGGGGGCCAGGCGTATCACCGGCAAACTTGTTCAAGGACCGTATGATGCTTTTACAGCAAACGCCACCCGCCACACCTAACCAGACCCTGACTCCCTGTGCAATTCTACTGTGTGCCCTCGGGCTCAGGATCTGGTCCGTCCTTGGCCTCTGCTCTGAATGGTCCCCATGTCCTCAAGGGCCTGCAAGCAGGGCTCATCCAGACTCAGGCGCTTCCTCCCTAAAGCACTGCCCATGCCGTCTTCTTCCCGGGGTTTCATGCCTAGTGACATTCATAGCCACATGGGCCTCTTCACCTCATCTTTCCCCTGAAACCCAGGACCCTCAGGGCTTCCCCCCTTGGCTAGCTCCCTGTCCATCATCCTAACCACTCACTGGTCCACCCCTGCTCTGGAACACCAAGCCCCAACTTCAGAGCTCCCACCCATTCTGTTCAGCATCAGCCCTTGGTGGCTAAACATGGCCCAAAGGACTGGGTGGGTGGCTTTCAGGAGCTCAGGAGGTCCAATCTTTTGTTAATCATCACCCAAGAGTGAGAGAGGGGAAGACAGAGAGAAAGAGAGAGAGAGACAGAGAGCGAGCGAGATTGATTGGTTGCCTCCTACATATGCCCCAATCGGGACCGAGGATGCAACCTGCAACCCAGGTACTTGCCCTTGATCAGGAATCAAATCTGTGACCCTTTGGTGTGCGGGCCAACACTCTACCTACTAAGAACACCGGCCAGGGCTGGAGGTCCCAATCTTGAAGCTGTTCCTGGTCACAGAGCACAGGACAGCCAGGCCATATGGAGGTCACAGCGCTCCCATGGACCAGAGCTATCAATCAGGGATTGGCACAGCCTGTCCCGCCACTCTTGAGCTAAGGGCATTTAACAAAAATCTAAAGAAATGGCATTTTGTGACATGGGAAAGTGACATGGCATTCACATTTCCAAGTTCATCAAGTATGAAAGTTTTGTTAGAACTTAGTCACATCCGCTCACCGACACGTGGTGTGCCCTTTGCCTGATGGGGCAGGTCGAGCAGTTGCAACAGAGGCCATGGGTCCCACAAACCTGAAAATATTTACTATGGGCCCTTTACAGGAACAGTTTGCGGATGCCTGGCCTGTAGCCCGGATGTGCCCTGCAACAGTCCTCCCTCACCGCGTGGCCCCGATGGCCCTCTGTTGTCACCTCCCCCCCACGTCCCCGTATCTGGGTTCCATGTCCACAATCCACTCTTACACACCTGCTGTTTTGGTCACTTCAAATTCCTCATTTTTCAGGGGAACGTCATTCTCTTTTTCAAACGCAGCTTTAGACTGAAAGGGAAAAGTGGAAACTTCCCTAATCAGGAAAGAACACGGTTTGGTTTGCTTCCCCAAGAGGCACAGGCTAAACCATGTGCGTTTACTGACACTTCTGAGCACATAAGAGAATCCAGGAGAAGTGGCTGGCTAATCTACTTAAGAGATTGTCAACTGGCTTAAAACTTCGTGCCTTCACTGCAAATCCTAGTAAGAAGGTATTTAATTCAATTTTTTTCTTAATTTATGGAAATGGGACAAGCACAGCAGTCTCTTGAATGTAATTTTTAAAAATTAGAATTGTGCTCTCAAATGAGCTAAAATAGAGTTTTAAAGGGCCCCTGGAGAGTCATTAGTTCAAAGTGGGACTGTGATGTGTCACCTTGGAGCAGCCATGTCCGCAGTTCCGCACTGACTACCGCTAGGTGCCCTGTGAGTCTGTGCTGTGATAAAAGCCCATCCCCAGGGGGTTCTTCTCCTTGCTGACCTGGGTGGCCCTGACTCGGGACAGAGCTGGGCTTCCCGGGAGGGCAGAGCCAGCCCTGCCTCCAGCCTGCCTGGCCCCTGGAAACCAGGGCTGCTTGGTCAGTCCCGAGGCAGAAGCCAATTCCTGGCAACCAATCTCTACCTGGCTGCCTGGCTCCTAGTGGTTGTGCTGCTTGGCTGCACCTGAACTGATGGAAGTGGTATTACACGTAGGCTCTGCAGGGTGGCCGGCCTCTGGAAAGGGCTGTGGGGGTCAGGAGTGCACAGAAGGCACTGCCCAGCCGTGAACCACAGGTCCTTGGGGCCAAGGGATGTGACACCCACACACATACCAGTGAGCCACACACCTGCCTCAGGGCCACTGCCACCCTTGCTGTCCCGCTTCGTGTCTCAGAGCTGAGCATCCAGGCCTGCCCTCTAGCTTCCTGCTGGCTTTTCCAATGGGGGCACCGGCAGGACACTGGCAGGCAGCAGGAGAGTGATGCCGGGTACCCGCTTCCTGTCACACCTGCCTGCTTTGGGCACCACCACCGCCTCTTTCCTTATGCCCCCAAACCTGGGGTCGGCAGTGTCCCATGTTCTTCCAAGTTATGCTCACCTCCTCCTCTTGCCTGTCTCCCCAGGGGACACCTCAGGCCACCACCCCAAAGTGCACAGCTGATACTCACATAGGCCATGCCGTACTCGATCTCGGCACCCCGCACCTCTGCCTTGAACTGAGTGAAGTACAGGTAGGACTTGCCCTGGGGCCTGCAGAGAAAGGTCAGGCGAGGGATCAGCCCAGGGCCGCGTGTTTCCAAGCACGGCTGACCGGGAAGTGTGGACGGGGCCCCTCCACATCATTCCCTTCCCTTTTCCAGAACGTTCTTCTGGCTGGTTACTGACAATCCTCTGTCCCCTTCTGAAGGCAAGCTGTTCTAGGGCAGGGACCCTCATGCTCATTCACCAAATGCTTTTTATTGAGTGCCAATGACATCAGGTATTTCATGGGGGCTGCAGCATCCTGGAGGTGAGAAATACAGGAGTGAACTAGGAAGGGGAGGGGGAGGGCTGGCCCAGGCAGAGGAAATGGCTGCTACAAAGAGTCCTCAGAGGGGGCAAGTGGGGGCATTTGATAAGCATGAGGTTTTATGGCCAGAGAGAGAGAGAGAGGAGCCAAGGGAGGAGGTCTGGTGCCCTAGCCAGTTTGGCTCAGTGGATAGTGTCAGCCGGCAGATCAAAGGATTCCAGGTTCGATTCTGGTCAAGGCCACGTACCTCAGTTGCAGGCCTGATCCCTGGCCCTGGTGAGGGCATGTGTGGGAGGCAACTGATCGATGTGATCTCTGACATCGATGTTTCTCTCTCTCTCCCTCTAAAAATCAACAGAAAAATATTGGGTGAAGATTAACACACAAGAAAAGAGGAGGACCGGTGCCAACAAGGGGCTGATGTCTGCAGTGTGAAGAGCTCCAATAGGCCGTGTGTGAAAAGCAGACATACGAGGTGGGGAATAGAGAGGGAGCAGGGAGGCCAGGGAGAAGGTGTTAGTGACAGGGTGTGGAGGGAGGAGATTGTGGGACGGGGGTATGGAGGGAGGAGATGGTGTTAGTGATGGGGGTGTGGAGGGAGGAGATGGTGGGACAGGGGTGTGGAGGGAGGAGATGGTGGGACGGGGGTATGGAGGGAGGAGATGGTGGGACGGGGGTGTGGAGGGAGGAGATGGTGGGACGGGGGTGTGGAGGGAGGAGATGGTGGGATGGTGGGACGGTGGTGTGGAGGGAGGAGATGGTGGGACGGGGGTGTGGAGGGAGGAGATGGTGGGATGGTGGGACGGGGGTGTGGAGGGAGGAGATGGTGGGACGGGGGTGTGGAGGGAGGAGATGGTGGGATGGTGGGACGGGGGTGTGGAGGGAGGAGATGGTGGGATGGTGGGACGGGGGTGTGGAGGGAGGAGATGGTGGGACGGGGGTGTGGAGGGAGGAGATGGTGGGATGGTGGGACGGGGGTGTGGAGGGAGGAGATGGTGGGATGGTGGGACGGGGGTGTGGAGGGAGGAGATGGTGGGATGGTGGGACGGGGGTGTGGAGGGAGGAGATGGTGGGATGGTGGGACGGGGGTGTGGAGGGAGGAGATGGTGGGATGGGAGGAGGTGGTAGGGATAAAGAGGTGGTATCCAGGGAGTCTCCCAGATCCTCAAAACCTCTGCATGGATGGAGGGTCAGTCCATGTCTGAAGCCTGGAGGCTGGGGCTCATTTAGGCTGGACCTCGGCTGAGCAGGTGGCCCCATGGTGAGCAGGTGTCGGGCTCAGTGAGTACTAGGGCCTGCATGGCCTGGGTCTGTGTACCCAGGGCTGGTGGCTCAGACTCCCTGTGAGAGGCAGCGAGCTGCACACGGTTAATGCAACCCTGTAACGAGCCTTCCCCGTGATGAGGGCATCCCAGGCTCCTTCCTGTGATACTTCTGAGGCCAGGAGATGTGGCTCAGGCAGGGTGACCTGATGAGGATGCTGGGCTCCTGGCCCCTGGGGCAGGCAGTGCAGCAGAAAGGCACGAATCTTCCCGATAGCACTTAGTAAGTACCTGCTGCTTGCTTAGCACTGAGACTGTGGGATGACACTGCAAGTGTGATTAAAACGTGCTGTGTCGCCCTGGCTGGGTGGCTCATTGGTTGGAGCATCATCCTGTACACCAAGAAAAGTTTGTAGATTCAATTCCCGATTGGGGCACGTACGGGAGGCAAATGATCAATGTTCCTCTCTCTCTCTCCTCTAAAAATCAATAAAACATATTATCGGGTGAGGATTAAAAAAGAACGCATTAAGTCTGGCCAGTGTTGCTCAGTGGTTGAGCACCGATCCATATGCCAAGAGGTCCCTGGTTCCCGTCCTGGTCAGGGCACATGCCCGGGTTGCAGGCGGGGTCCCCATTAGGGAGCATACAGAAGGCAGCTGACTGACGATACATCAATGTTTCTATCTGTCCCTCTCCTTTCCTCTCTCTAAAAAGCAATAAAAACATTTAAAAATGCATTAAAAAGTGTCGTGTCTTTATTGTATATGTCCAACTTAAAAATGCGCCACTTCCTTTCATTAATGGCAAGTCCCTGACCTCCCACTGTGTCCAATTTGTTGATCTGTCCCATGTGGGTGAAGCCACAGCTTGGATTTTCTGTCGGGCTCACTAAAGTCTGAGAACTTGGCTCTGCTTGAGGTGACACATTTGAGGCAGAAGAGCCCAAGACAGAAGGGACATGATTCCACGATGTCCCATCATCCTCCTCCCCACCCAGGTCTACGGACTCCCTTTCCTCCATCCCTTCCCTGGCTTACCGCTCGCTCAAACTGGGCACCAGCAGTGGGTGAACAAGACATCAGTCCCTGGCAGGGAGACTGAGCCCATGAACCATGAGTGTGACTGAGGTGACAGTGGCAGGTGAGCACTGGGGAGCCTGACCCCGCTCTCTGGAGCTGAGGCTACTGCCTAGACCGCAGCCCCTCAATCCCCATAACCTGCTCTTGGCCTCAGTGTCAGCTTCCCTGGGGAGCTCTGCAGTCCCTGCCATCAAATGTCTCACTCTGGTGGGGGCTGCTGACATAGGGGATGTGGGAGGGGCAAGAAGATCCATCAAAATCTCTCTGCTTTCTGCTCAATTTTGCTGTGAACCTAAAACAGCTCTAAAAAAATGTCTACTAAGAAAAACAAAAACAAAAAAGAAGGTAAGACAGTACATTCATGCCCGCTGGCAGAAGCATAAAGAAGTCCTCCCTCTGTGCACTCCCTGTGTGCCTCTCCCGGGGTGCAGGGCCCTATTGGTGTGTCTGCCCCTCTTTCCTGCTGCCCAGAGCAGCCTGAGCCCCCGCCGCTGGGACCCACAGCTCACCTCCAGATGGTGCAGGTGAAGTGCTGCTGGTCTTCGCTGGTCCCCAGGCTCATCTGCCACTTCTGGGGAGAGGAGAAAGACAAGGGTCAGTCCAGAACACAGACTGGCGAGCGCGGTGCCTCTGAGAGCTGCCCGTCTATGTCCAGCTCTGCAGAGTGAGTGAGCCTTTCCTGGGCCCCCGCTGGAGCGTGCTTCCCGGTGCCCCACACTCTGCTCAGGGCAGTGAAACTCCTCTACGCGATACCACAACTGTGGATACACACCGTTATACATTTGATCAAACCCACAAAATGCGCATCACGAGGAAGCCCGAACGTCAACTATGAACTTGGGGTGACAGTGATGTCAAGGTAGGTTCACTACTCTGGTGGGGCTGCTGACTATAGGGGAGCCTGTGCATGTGGGGGGGGCAAGGAGATACAACAAAACCTCTATTCCTTCTGCTCAATTTTGCTGTGAACCTAAAACTGCCCTGAAAAATGAAGTCTATTAAGGGGGGGGGGGGGGGACAATACACTCATGCCTGCTTGCAGAGGCATAGTCCTCAGAAAAGACACAGGATTTTAATAAGTGTGGATACCTGTAGGATGTGGGCAGGAACTAGGCTAGAAGACACTGTCAATCTTTTATATGTTTTTCTTTTTGAGTGATGTGAATGTATTAGCTACTTAAAAATTAAAATCTTAGCCTGGCCAGAGTGGCTCAGTGGTTTAGCATCAACCTATGAACCGGGTGGTCACGGTTTGATTCCACAGGGCACATGCCTGGGTTGCGGGCTTGATCCCCAGCGTGGGGTGTGCAAGAAGCAGCCAATCAATGATTCTCTCTTATCACTGATGTTTTTATCTCTTTCCCTCTCCCTTCCTATCTGAAATCAGTTAAAGTATATACTGAGTAATCAGATTATTATGATCTCTGAATGCATAATAATCTGGCCATTCAGTGTATATCCTATATAATAAAAAGCTAATATGCAAATTGTCCCGTGGACCAGGAGTTCGACCAGCAGGCAGGCCGGCTAACCGCCCATGTCCCCTCCCCCTGGCCAGACTGGCTGGACCCCACCCATGCATGAATTCATGAACCAGGCCCCTAATACACACACACACACACACACACACACACACACACACACACACACACTCTGAGTGGATCATAATAATCTGGCCACTCAGGGTATATTTTAAAAAATGTTAAATTTGAACTGGTTCCAAAACACCCCACTACCTGTGAATTCTAACTTTTATAGCCTTTGGAAACCTGGCCAAAAGGAAATGGAAAATGCACTCTTATGTTCCAGGCTGCCTTAGGCACTTACTTTCAGAGTTTGTTAGTAAAATGAGTTTACAGTCCCTCCCAAGAGTAATAATGGCTTCAGATTACTGGTACTCCCCATTTAACATCAAAGCTTTTTCATTAATGTGAATAAGGCCATTTTTATGTTAATTAAATGGTCACTTAGATGCCTTTTGCCTGGAGCACCCATCTAGGAACAAATTACTAGTTTACACACACTGTACAATTCACCCTTTTAAAGTGTGTAATTCAAGCCGGAACCGGTTTGGCTCAGTAGATAGAGCGTTGGTTTGTGGACTGGAAGGTCCCGGGTTCGATTCTGGTCAAGGGCATGTACATTGGTTGTGGGCACATCCCCAGTAGGGGGTGTGCAGGAGGCAGCTGGTCGATGATTCTCTCTCATCGATGTTTCTAGCTCTCTATCCCTCTCCCTTCCTCTCTGTGAAAAATCAATAAAATATATTAAAAAATAGATAAAATTGCCGAAACCAGTTTGGCTCAATGGATAGAGCGTCGGCTTGGGGACTGAAAGGTCCTGGGTTCGATTCCGATCAAGGGCATGTACCTTGGTTGCGGGCATATCCCCAGTAGGGGGTGTGCAGGAGGCAGCTGATCTATGACTCTCTCTCATTGATGTTTCTGACTCTCTATCTCTCTCCCTTCCTCTCCGTACAAAATCAATAAAATATATTTAAAAAAATTTTTTTTAAATAAATAAAGTGTGTAATTCAAAAAGCAGATCCAAGATGGCGGTGTTCATGGACAGAGCTCGTCCCTCCTAAGAGCACATGAAATACTTAGCGCACTTCCTCCTATTATACGGCTTCTGCACAACAAGGTATAGAAACCACACAGAGAAGGCTGAGGAAGCTCTCTGCAAGCTGAGAAGCCCAGAACCAGAGGAACCAGTGAGCGCCATCCTATATAATAAAAGGGTAATATGCAAATGGAGATTCTCAAAACCTCACGGCAGAACAGATCACTGAACCAGTCACTTTGAGGCATACTGCCTATCTCTTGGTCCCTTTCCTCAGCTGGCAAGCTCCCATCACCTGATGGCCACCCTCAGTGGGGGCAGGGCCAGCAAGTGAGGGGGCGGAGGGGGGGACAGCCAACCTCTCATCCCCTCTCCCCCTGCACCTATCTCCTGATAAGGTGGGTGGGGTTGGGGGAGGGGGCAGGGCCGCTTCAGGCAGCTGGGGAAGATGGCCCTGATCCAGGACAGGCCTAGGGACTGTACCACACACAATTTCATGCACTGGGCCTCTAGTTATTTATGTTTCCCCTCTCCATCCAGGTTCTCTGGCCAAACTGTAGGGTGTTGTAGCAGGTTCTCAGCCAGTTCCAGCTAGCTCCAGCAGGAAGAGGGTGCCATCGCATGCATACAGGGGCTCCTCCACCCTGAGATTGACCAGCAGGTATAACAGGGTGTCCCACTGGGCTGTGTGTGCACATGGAGCCCCCTCCCCCGGTGAAAGTGCAAAGCTAGCAAAATACTGTAGTACCTGCCTATAGGGCTACCCTGGCCGGCGAAAGTACAGATAGTGAAACACTACTGTGTGCTCACACGGGGCTTCTCCTCCCAATGAAAATTCAGAGTTAGCAAAATGCTGTGGTACCCACACAGGAGTGCCCTCTGCGGAGTGAATGGGGCACTGCTGTGTACGTGGGTGTGCCCCACCCAGAGAAGGTGCAGAACTAGCAATGTGCGGCTGCGTACTCACACAAGGCTGCCTCATGAGGATGTGGTATGTATACACGATGGAATATTACTCAGCACTAAAAAGGAATGAAATCTTGCCACTCGCAACAATAAGGATGGACCTAGAGTATAATTGTGCTAAGTGAAATAAGTCAGAAAGAGAAAGACAGATACCATATGGTTTCCTTATATGTGCAATCTGAAAAAACAAAACAGAAACAGACCCACAGACATAGAGAACGAGCTGATGGTTACCAAAGAGGAGGGGATGGGGCAAAAAGGAAGTCTGGAAATGGTGGGGCTGCTCCTTTGCTCTCTCAGAAGCAAAATCAAGGTGAAGGCCAGACCGTATTCCCATTGGAGTTTGGGGTCTTCTTCCAACTCTACTGGTGGTGGCAGCTTCGGTTCTTTGTGACTGTAGGACTGAAGCCCTCGTGTCCTCGCTGCCAGCAGAGGCCGCGGTCACCGTCTAAAGCAGCGGTCGCTGACCGCTGCTCCTCGGAGCTCTGGTGGTCCGCGAGGTCCGAAAGGTTGGCGCCCGCTGGTCTAAAGGCCACCGGCACCTCTTGTGCAATGCGCCCTTCTGGTGCTTACAATCTATTTCACTTCCCCTTTTGCCATCAGATGGAGAAAATGGCCAGCAAGGCAAGGGGGACCTCAGGCCTACATTGTGAGGCACTGAGTTCTGACAACAAATTGCACCTGGAAGACGAAAGGCCAGACTGCCTGACACCTTGATTTTAGCTTATGAAGCACCCATCTGAGCCCTAGCACTTCTGACCTCAGAACTGAGGGATGGTGAACGGGTGCTGTGTTAAGCTGATGAGTTTATGGTGACTTGTTAGTCAGCACAGAAAACAAATGCAACACCTCTAATGGAGCCTCCTGGGAATGGCAGATTCACAGCCCATGTCCCTCCTGTCCCGACGTTCGTTCACTCTGTGGAACTACCTCACTATTTAACATGAGCACTCTCGCATTTTATTGGTTACGAAGAATTCAATGAGTGTAAGTTAACCCACCCATGACAACCTCATTATCCTGGGAGAACATCTCTGTATGAAGACAGATACCATCACATTAAATTACATGGAATTTTGTACAACTCACCTCATTGGTCCCTCCTTGAGAAGCATAGGTGAATACACAAGTATATTTGTCCTAGAAATGGAATGGAAAAGAAGGCTTGGTAGGATGTAATCCTTAGTTCTTAAGGGGCAGGATCTTGGGATGTCTAAGAAGATCCTGCTTTTGAAAATCTACACTAAAGGAGGAGGAGGCAGAGGCAGATAGCACTGGTGAGTGTCCCCGGAAGCCAGCCCGGCAAGGCCTCCTGGTGACTTGACAACCCAGAATTCCCCTTCCTGCCTCCCTACTAGTGAGCGCCTGGCTCAGGACAAACAACCCCTGTGGCTTGTTGGGAGTAAAGAACGGGAAGGAGGTGGCCACACCCCCTCTAACACCCACCCCTCTAGGAGCTGGGGCTCTGGGACACCTGCAGGCCCCCTTTGGAAGCTGAAACACCTGGGACCCGTATCTGCGCTGCTGTGGCTCTTGGGCAGGTGCAAACCTCTCTGAGCCTCTGTTCCTTCATCTGCAAAATAGGCCTAACATAGAAAGCAATCGGCACAGTACCAGGCTGTAGATTAGCATTCAACAAACAGCTGCAATCGATACTATCTCAGACATGGAGGAGGAGGATGAAAGGGGCAGCGACTTCTCCAACAAGTTGGGGACAAAGCCTGGGGTCTCAGGAAAGGAAGGCCTGGCCTCACACTTCAGTGACACGAAAGATGGGGGACCTTGTGCAATGGCAGGAAGAGCAACGTCTATGCACTTCTGCAAGGGGACCGACCTTCTGCGGGACCTGGAGCCGCGTCCCCAAAGGCTCCAGCTCCCCTCTCCCCACCTGTGTCTCCAACTCCCCTCCCCACCTGGGTCCGCCCCGCCTCCAATGGCGGGGAACTCGCCTGGGTCTGGGGATAGGGCTGCTGGGCATGTGAGAGGCGGCAGGGACTGAGCACAGTGACCCAGCTCTCTCAAAGTTCCAGCCCCCCAAGTTCGCACTCACACTGAGGCCCCACCCCCGAAGTCTGAGCCAAAGTCAAGCAGCAACCCCTCCCCAAATCCCGTCCCCGCCGCGGGTACTTCGCTCGGCGGCGGCGGCAGTTACCCCAGGGCCCACGTTCTGGGAGAAGGTGTGTACGACGCCGCCGGGCCGCACGTCAAACGCCACCGTCGTGGGCTCGGACACCGCCTCCGCCGGCCTCAGCGCCACGGCCGCCAGGAGCAGCGCAGCCCACAAGCTCGCGCCGCCGCCGCCGTTCCTCCTTCCGCTGGGCGCCGCCATCTTGGGATCGGGCCCGAGGGACCTTGACGTCGGACGGGGCGCGGCGAGGGACACGTTGGGCGTCCCCCGGGGGCCACGTCAGCGGCGGCGCGATCACGTGACCGGGAGCGCCCGGCCCGCTCTGGCCGCCATCTTGGGGCGGGGCTTGGGAGTGCGGGAGCGTCCGCGGTGAGTGGGCTTGATTCCGTCGTCCCCGACCAAGCTCAGCTCTTCCAGTTGGTGAATGTACGAGGAATGAGGGAGAGAAAAGAGCCACTAAAATTTAAACGAATGAACGTGAACTGTGTGAGGGCAATGGAAGGAGACCACTGGGAAAATACTTCATAATTGTGGCAGCCAAGATCCTAAAAATTGGTGGTGGAAAGTTATGAGAAGCAGGATATTTGCATAATCTTAAAAGTATTTCCCCCCAAAATACTTGTTGATTACAACGAGAAAAAGAGTAATGTTACAATAGAGACACCACCCTAGCCCAATGATCAAAGTTAGCATCACCAAAAATGAGACTGTTACGTCATGGAGCCACCCACCGGATGCACCTCTGGAATTCCTGCCCAAAATGCTGGCTCTCAATCTAATTATAAGCAAACATCAGACACACCAGCGGTACTCTTCAAAAATGTCATGAAAGACAGCTGAGGAGCCATCACAGAATAAGGAGATCAAGACCACGAAAAATAAAATTAAAAATTAAAAAAAGACCACGAAACTGCAATTGAAGGTCCTGGCTTGGATACTTTTCCTAATTCCGGCTTCTATCCTAAAAATATCATATACTGCGGGCGGCAAAAAACACTTTTTTTTTTTTTACTATTTTTGAAAAATATTTTTATTGATTTTTTACAGAGAGGAAGGGAGAGGGAGAATGATAAATATCGATGAGAGAGAAACATCAATCAGCTGCCTCCTGCACAACCTCCCACTGGGGATGTGCCCGCAAACAAGGTACTTGACCTGAATCGAACCCGGGACCCTTGAGTCTGCAGACCGATGCTCTATGCACTGAGCCAAATCGGTTAGGGGAAAAGCACATTTCTTTTCACATTTCTGGAGGCTGGCAAGGGCAAGGTCAAGGCTTGGGCAGCTTTGTGTGTCTGTTTAGGGCCCACTTCCTGGTTCAGACTGCTCTCCTGCCTGTCCTCACCAAGGGAAGGGGTGCCCCAGTTCTCTGGGGTCTCTTGTATAAGGACACTGATCCCATTCATGGGGCTCCATCCTTATGACCTAATCAACCCCCAACTTCCCAATCTAACACGATTACGTTGGAGGATAGGTTTCAACTCGATTTGGGGAAACATAAGCATTCAGCCCATAACAGTCCTCGACCAGAAAAATGACTTTACAGGGAGAAATGTTGAAATTCAATAAGGTCTGTATACGTCTATGTACATGATAAGATGTGTTGATGTTAATTTCCTGGCTTTAACACCTGGTTTGTGCCATGTTAACTTTAGGGGAAGATGAGCAAGGGACATTAGAGAATTCTATTTCAAAATAAAAAATCTAAGAAAAAATAATCCTTACCTCAGGAGTTGCCAGGAGGACTGATGGAGGGGACTGCAGGTAAGAACTCTAAATTCTAGGTGCTACTAGCATTAGATGCCAATGAAGAAAGCCCAGATTTTCAACTACAGAAGGAATCATTTTGTGTCTGTGTGCAGAGGCAGGTCACAAATTGCTTAGCATTTCAAGAAATCCCTGGTGGCCGGGAGTGTCCAGAATTAAGCCTCTTTTCCTAGTTCTTCCTGACTTGAAAGAACAGAATGAAGAGAGAAAATGTCACAGGTAACCCTTAAGCTGGGCTGAATCACACTCAAATCTCTCACCATTTACATTCAACCCCTCATCCCCCTGTCCTTCCCCGAGGATGAAGGTCAGTGTCTGGAGGTCAGGAGGCTCCTATAAAAGGCTGACTGCTCTGCAGATAAACTTGACTTCAGAATTCACGCTCCTTGGCAGTGGCAGCCTGTCCTAAATAGAGATACCTGCTTGTGTTAAGAAATTTCCTCCTGGGTTCATTGGAAATTGGTTCCACCAATTGGTTCTGCTATCCTGTTTGTTTGGTGTTTTACACAGCATTCATGTCTTTCCTAGTCTCCGCCTGCGTCTGACCTTCAGCCTGTTACTGTGAAGAATCTAATTAGTGGCCCAGAGCTGTTGTTAACAATACATTGTATTTCAATTATGAGCTTATTGGATATCTGCTAAAGAGGGGTAGAGGTGTGTGTGTGTGTTTAGAAAGACTGAGCCCCAAGACTCTTGTTTTTTCTTTTTGCCTCAAAACACACATATACAACACGCACACTAAAGGAGTTTAAAGAAAAAGCCACATTCACACTAAAGTTTAAAGAAAAAGCCATCATTCCAAAGGTCCTGCTTTCTAGCCATGACATGAAACCTAGCAGTTCTAAAAGAAACAACTCCTGAGGATCCAAGATGGCTGCTCGGGTAGACATCTAGCCGCGGCAGCACACAACAATTTCAATGGAATACAACTAAAATGTAGAGTGGACATTGCCCAGAGCTACAGGTAGTCGACTGACTGAAATTTCTACAACAAGAAGGAAAGAGAAAACCAGAAAGAAAATCAGAGGAGCTGAAAAAAAGCCTAAGGTACGGAGACATGCTGCGCGCGCCTGCCCGCCCGCACGCGCGCACGGAGAGGTCACAGCCGGAGAGGAGGAGAGGGTGGGGAGCCGCCTTTCCTTCCCTAGCAGGAAGGAAATAAAACCTCCAACCTGGGCTGAACCCCCGAACCGGCAGCGCTGAGCCCCCCCGAACCGGCAGCGCTGAGCCCCAGTTATGGGCCAGACCCTGGGGACCCAGGCTCCGGCGGGAGGAGACAGGGCCGTGAGGCGGAAAAACGGCGAAAGGCAGGGCCCCGGGAGTCGCGCGCAATGCGCGCAGAGGACTGAATGCTGACTCTGATGCTGGGTTACCCTAGCCGGAAGAAACAAGGCCTCCGGCGGTGCTGAGCCTCAGTCCGGACTGCTCCAAACCCCAGTTCTGGGCCAATCCCTGGGGACCCAGGCTCAGGCAGAGGGAGACGGGGCTGTGAGGTGGAGTCCGGGGAGAGCAGCGAAAGGCCGGGCCCCCGGGACTCGCGCAAACTGCGCGCAGAGGACAGTCTGTGGGACTCGCGCAAACTGCGCGCAGAGGACAGTCTGTTGACTCTGATGCTGGACTTCCCTAGCAGGAAGGAGAAAAAAAAAGCTCTAGGCTGGGGGAACGCGGAGGGGAGCGGAAGCCCCTGCCGGACTCCAGCCAACCGGGCACCAGCAAGGAGGCGGGCCACGGGGCCCCTGGGGGCGTGAGTGCCCCTGAGCCTTTGACCACTGAGCTCGGGCAATGGAGCCAAGGCCGGGGGCTGCTTCCTGGGCGGCGCCGTCCCGGCAACAGGCTGAAGCAGCACAGGAGCCCGCGGAGAACAAAGGGGTGCCACAGGCCAACCTGCTGAGCTCCCAGGACAAGGAGGAAGAAACCAAAGAAGTTCTCAATGTGAAGAAATCAAGTGAGAGCAAACAATAGTAAAATTACTTAAGAAAGAATACAAAGAAAATCTTGAAAAATCAAAGACTAAGTCAGAACTCAACTCACCAGCCAACATTGCAACATAAATGCGTTTTAAAAAGAAAAAAAAAAGGACAGAATGTTGGAAAAGGGACGGCCAGGCCTAGAGTGGCCAGGCACAAGGCAGTGGCAGCCAGACCTGGAGCAGCAACGGCCAGGCCCCAGAACAACAGCAGCCAGAACCAGAGCATCAACAGCCAGCACTGGAGTAGCCAGACCTGGGGCAGTGGCAGCCAGGCATGAGGCGGAGGCAGCCAAGCCCAGGGTGGCCAGTCCAGGAACACCCAGACCCGGAGTGGCCGGGCCTGGAGAAGCCGGGCCCAGAGCAGCCGGGGTGGGAGCAGCCAGACCCAGAACAGCAGTAGCCAAGCCCAGAGCATCCAGGTCGGGAGTGGCCAGGCTCGGAGCAGCCGGGCCCGGGGCAGCCGGGCCCAGAGCAGCCAGGTCAGGTGCGGCCAGGCCCGGAGCAGCAGCTGCCAGGCTGGGAGCGGCCAGGCCCAGGGGAGCAGTCGGGTCGGGTGCGGCCAGGCCCGGAGCAGCGGCTGCCAGGCCGGGAGCGGCCAGGCCCGGGGGAGCAGGCGGGTCGGGTGCGGCCAGGCCCGGAGCAGCGGCTGCCAGGCCGGGAGCGGCCAGGCCCGGGGGAGCAGGCGGGTCGGGTGCGGCCAGGCCCGGAGCAGCGGCTGCCAGGCCGGGAGCGGCCAGGCCCGGGGGAGCAGGCGGGTCGGGTGCGGCCAGGCCCGGAGCAGCGGCTGCCAGGCCGGGAGCGGCCAGGCCCGGGGGAGCAGGCGGGTCGGGTGCGGCCAGGCCCGGAGCAGCGGCTGCCAGGCCGGGAGCGGCCAGGCCCGGGGGAGCAGGCGGGTCGGGTGCGGCCAGGCCCGGAGCAGCGGCTGCCAGGCCGGGAGCGGCCAGGCCCGGGGGAGCAGGCGGGTCGGGTGCGGCCAGGCCCGGAGCAGCGGCTGCCAGGCCGGGAGCGGCCAGGCCCGGGGGAGAGGCGGGTCGGGTGCGGCCAGGCCCGGAGCAGCGGCTGCCAGGCCGGGAGCGTCCAGGCCCGGGGGAGAGGCGGGTCGGGTGCGGCCAGGCCCGGAGCAGCGGCTGCCAGGCCGGGAGCGGCCAGGCCCGGGGGAGCAGGCGGGTCGGGTGCGGCCAGGCCCGGAGCAGCGGCTGCCAGGCCGGGAGCGGCCAGGCCCGGGGAGCAGGCGGGTCGGGTGCGGCCAGGCCCGGAGCAGCGGCTGCCAGGCCGGGAGCGGCCAGGCCCGGGGGAGCAGGCGGGTCGGGTGCGGCCAGGCCCGGAGCAGCGGCTGCCAGGCCGGGAGCGGCCAGGCCCGGGGGAGCAGGCGGGGCTGGTGCGGCCAGGCCCGGAGCAGCGGCTGCCAGGCTGGGAGCGGCCAGGCCCGGGGGAGCAGGCGGGTCGGGTGCGGCCAGGCCCGGAGCAGCGGCTGCCAGGCTGGGAGCGGCCAGGCCCGGAGCAGCAGCAGCCAAGTCCAGAGCAACTAGGTCGGGAGCGGCAGTGACCAGACCCGGAGCAGCTGGTTGTGGAATGAACCAGAGCAACAGAGGCCAGGCCCTGAGCAGCCAGGCCCAGAACAGCTCGCTCCTTGCCTGCCCCTGCCCCACGGCTGCTTCTCAGACATGGCTGGAAACTTTCGTGGGAACTTGAGGGTCTGCTGAATCAAGTGATGAAGGCTTAGATCTGGATGTGTTGAGTTAGTTTAGGACTGGGGTGTTGATCTGTGAGTGCCTTGGGTGGGGCCTGGATGAGGCTGGTTGACCTAGAGGGAAATGTCTTTTGTGTGATGTGTATCATTGGGCATGTGGAGGTATTATTGATATGAGAAAATGCTAAATAACTGATTTACTATCTGAAAAGGGATTTACTATTGGGGAAATTGAGGGAAGAAGAGACTGAACATAAACTGCACCTATGGATGAGGACAATGGGGGGTGGGGGGGGGACGGAGGGTGGGGTGGGAACCTGGTGGAGGGGGGAAGAAATGAGGAACCTTTGTAATAATATGAACAATAAAGATTGATTTAAAAAAAAAAAAATAAATAAAGCTGGTGCCTTCCAACAAAAAAAAAAAAAAAAAAAAAAAAAAAAAAAGAAACAACTCCTGACTCAGTATCACAGACGTCTCTGACAGGACACCATCACCTGGGTAGGTGTGGATATAAAGGGATCACTCAAAGGGGCTGCGTGGTGGTGAATAAACCATTCTGTTTTCATTGTGGTGGTGGTTACAGGAATCTGCTCAGGTGACAAAGTGGAACAGAACCACACACACACACACACACACACACACACAAATGAGTGCATGCGAAATATTTTAAAATGTAAGGGTCTCGTTAATTGCATTGTACTGTCAATTCCCTGGTTTGACAATGTACTATGGTTAAGATGTAATCTGGGTGATAGGTACATGGGACTCTGTGCTATTTTTGCAACTTCCTATATGTTAAATTATAAAAAAAGTAATTTCAGAGAAAGGGAGAGAAAGGGATAAAAACATCAATGATGAGAATTACTGATTGGCTGCTTCCTGCACATCCCTGACTGGGGATTGAGCCTGCAACCCAGGTATGTGCCCTGTCGAGGAATAAAACCGTGACCTCCTTGTTCATAGACTGATGCTCAGCCACCGAGCCACACTGGCTGGGCTGTCTAGTTATTTTTGAAAAATAACATAAACATGTTTGAAAAGAAAATGACAAACCAGGAAAATATCTGCAATTGATATGACAGGGTTTTATATCTATTATACCACATATGGGTTCTTGCCAATTTGGAAGAGATGAGCAGTTACATTGGGAAAGGAATCAAGCACGTGCACAGGTAACCCCAACTAGCATCAGGGACCCTCCCGCTCATGGAATCCCCATCAAGTGGAGGAAACAGTGGCCACATATCGACAGGAAGAAACAGACACCTCTAACCTGCCACCTTCAGATACTGAGACCTTCTGTCACACTTGTGCTTTTGTAGCTGCCCCCTTCCTGTTGGCACCTCACTTGTTTCCACCTCATTATCAGGGCAGGAATGTGACTAACTGAAGTCTGGCCATCAGATGCTGCCTCATGACAATCTGAATGTTGACTGAATGAGGCAGGGGTAGGAGGTTATGATGAAGAGTTCCTGCTTTGACATGATTGAGGGTTGCAGGCCACCAAGTCTCCTGGGGCAACCCCAGAGTCCCCTTTCTCACCAGTTTCTATCATTCTGTGACTTATGGCTGGGTTCCTCTCCATTTTATTTCACAGTGGGTTAAGTAAAAGACATCTTTTTCCTGAGATGATTTTAGCTATCTTACCCGTAAAACATTTTGAAATCAGCAACATAGTCCAATTTTCAACCTGTATGACAATGAACTAATTTCCTTCATATGTAGTGTCTACAAATCAATGAGGTTAATAGATAAAAAGGGGGCAAATGATTACTAGTAAATTAGTGTCTTTAAAACATGAAAATATTCCCACACATAAAAATTTTTTAGTTCAAGTTACAGTGAGATGCCATGTTTCACCTCTTAAGATTGAAGATAAAAATGTTTGAAAACACGTAATACTGTTTAGGAGTGGAGAAACTGAAGGAGTGGAGAAACTGACACTCTTCTTCCCTCTTGGCAAAGTGCACACTGAGGCGTTCTCTTTGGAAGGCAAATTGGCAGTATTCTTCAAAAAGTAAAAATGAATATGCCTTTGATAATTCTAGGAATTTACCCAATAAATCCAAAAATATGTACAAAGCTATTGGTTGCGGTATCATTTATACCAGTTGTTCAATTACAGCCTGTGAGTTGAATCTGGCTACATGCCTGGTTTTGTAAATAAAGTTTTATTGGCACACAGCTATACCTACACTTTACATATCATTGGTGGCTGCTTTTGAACTACAAGGGTGAAGCTGAGTAGTTGGAACACAGACTATCTGGCCTATAAAGCCCAAAATATTTACTATCTGGCTCTTTACAGAGGCCAGCTAACCCTTATACTGACTAACATAAAAAGTCCAGAATAACTTTTATTATTCCTTGATAGGTTCCTGACAAAATAATTTATAGAACATTCACAAAGCTGAATAGAATGCAGCTATTAAAAATAGAGACTTGGGCCGAAACCGGTTTGGCTCAGTGGGTAGAGCGTTGGCCTGCGGACTGAAAGGTCCCAGGTTCGATTCCGGTCAAGGGCATGTACCTTGGTTGCGGGCACATCCCCAGTAGGGGGTGTGCAAGAGGCAGCTGGTCGACGTTTCTCTCTCATTGACGTTTCTAACTCTCTATCCCTCTCTCTTCCTCTCTGTAAAACATCAATAAAATATATTAAAAGAATAGAGACTTGGGACGAAGGGCATCTTTCCTCCTGCTAGCCTCTTGTACTTATTTTTTAAGCAATTAAAAGTAAAGGTAGAGCTTCCCAAAGGCCGGAGAGGATGACTGCATTCGGCAAGGCCATTCTGCTGTCAGAAACTCAAACGCCCTGCGTGCCTTTCCACTGGCACTGCCTCCAGTCTCCTGGCTCTCTCTGCTGTCGGGACAAACATGAAGGGGCGTTGCCTGGTGCCTGAAACACGGACTCACGTCTCTGGACAAGCACAGTGCAAAAGGAAGTTATGGTGGCCCACAGAGCATCCAGCCAGAAGGATGCTGTACCTTGGGTTGTGCTGTTGCCCTGGGAAAACCGCCCTCCACACCCTATGCTGGAGCCTGAGTGACACATCAGGACTGTGGGGACTGTCTTTTCTGGGCCACTGAGGAGCAGGGCACCATCCAGCCAGGGCAGGTGCCCCTCCCTCTTTTGTGCCAAGGCGTCCAGGGCTGATTACAAAGACTGCCACGCCTTTGGCTCTGCCACCTCCTAGACCCTGCACACTCCAAAAGGCCCTCATCCCCATTCCCAGGGCTCAGAAGGAAACGCAGGCAGGTGGCAACGCTTCCATCTGGAATCGTTTAATGAGCCTACTTCTTACACGCATAATTATAAAAGAATAAGAATTGACAAAAATATTTTCTTTCCTTAATATGTAGAGGTGGTTTGTTTCTGGGGTTCTTTTTTTTTTTTTTTTTTTCTTTTTTCTTTTTTGCCCGCCCCTGGCAGAACTCTTGGCAGGGAGGGAAAGGAAGGAGTAAATAACCCTGAGGTGGGGATGGTTCCCCTCCCAACCTGGAATCTGGTCTGTGTGGGCCAGGCAGACACGTGGCTGGAGGGACGGGGCGGGCAGCAGCCGCTGGCCAGCAGAGACCCAAGCTGACCAAGTCCGGAGCCTGACCGAGAGCTGGGGAAAGGCGGGCCCAGGAGGCTGCCTGCACCATGTGCAGTGCTCAAACCTGCTGGCCACCACTCCCAAGTCTGGGCTCCGAAAGAGGCGGGGCTGGCTGGGCTGCACCCCGCTACTCAGCGGCAGACCCAATTCTAGGTTTCAGCACCCCTTGCTTTCTGTCTTTTAAATAATTATGAAAGCTGTCCCCAAAAACAAAACACAAGTAGGAAATGGGGCTGGCTGGGAGAAAAGGCAACCGACTGCATGCTTCCGGGCTGGGTGCAGTGGTGGGCCAGGGCCCAGGAGGCAGACCCAACGGCTCTAGTGCCCAGCGGGGTTCAGGCGTCCTGCTCCCAGACAACGGAGAGAGGGGATGGCTTCAGGAAGTGCCCTGTGGGTGTCGGCCACATCTCTCCGTCTTGGCAACCAAGAAGCAACAGGCAAGGAGCCCAGGAGCATTTTTAAAAATGATAAAAGACGTTGGGACATCAAGGCGGTGGCTCTTGGGCCTGGGCGGCCCAGCAGGGGCTGTGGTGAGGGCACTGCCGGTCCTCCCGCCTGGTCTCACTGGTGGTGGTGGTGGTGGTGGTGGTAGTGGTGGTGGCAGCGGCGGAGAAACCACTTGTGCTCTAGGTGTGCAGCCGAGGGCCACAGCCCTCAGAGGTATTCTTGTAGAAAGTGCAGCAGCGTGACTTCATAGTGCTCGCCGGACTCAGGGCAGCGGATGCTGTGTCTCTCGTTGGGGTAGATCTGCGTGGACAGAGAAGGCAGGGCTGGTGGCACTGAGCGACCCTGCTGGCCTACCCTGGCACTCTGGAGCCCCTCCCCTTTCTGGCTCAGGGCATCACCCCTCAGGGACTGTGCTACCACCCACTCCTAAACGAGGCAAGAGCGTGAGCCAAGCTCCCACCCCCAACAGTGTTATCTCACTTCCAGTTTCTCCTGGGGAGGCAGCTCTAAATGCTTTCCCTGAGAAAGTTCATTCGGCTCTCATAGCCTCACTGGGAGGCAGGGGGTACTTGTGCCCATTTCACAGATGAGGAAGTGAGGCCCAAGGCTAACAGACCTGCCACCTATGACCACATAGGAGGGAACAACTATCTCAGCTACATGATCAAGATTTCAGGCTCAGAGGGACATTTGTGATTCCATCCTGGGCCCGCCTGACTTTTGCCCTGATCTGCAACTGCCTCTGGCCTACTTGTGAGAAGCATGTGTGGCTGGGGGTGGGGTTGCCGAGAGGGATTCTAACAGTTCTTCACCTCCACAGAAGCTCTGCCCTTGCCTTGGCCAGGTGGCTTAGTTGGTTAGAGCGTTGTCATGTACACCAAAAGGTTGTGGGTTCAATCCCTGGACAGGGCACATACCTAGGTTATAGGTTCAATCCCCAGGTGAGATGCATAAGGGAGATAACTGATCAATGTTTCTCTCTCTTTCCCACCCTTCCTGTCTCTCTAAAATCAATAAACCTACCCTTGGGTGAGGAGTAAAAAAAACAAAAACAACTTTGCCTGCTTCCCTCCGGCCAAGTTTGACAGGACAGAGCGCATGGAGGTGTCTGGGAAGCAGAAATACATCGTGGCAGCATGTGATCAAATCCGTCCCTCTTGCCTCCAGAATTCCTCCACAACCCACTGGGCTTCTTGCTCCCCACTGCTGACCCCTTTCCTGCCAGGAAACTGACTATGGCTCATGTCCTACTGGCCCCTGCTACAGGGCAGCCAGGGGGATGCCGGTCACACAGCAAGCAAAAGTTCCAGTCCTGCTCTCAGGGCCAGACACCGCTTCTCTTCCTTAGAACAAAATCCAGGCAAGGCCACGCCCCCTCAACCAAGACTCACCCCCTAAATGCCAGAGTTTAGCCACCCCTCCACCCCAAGGCCCACCCCTTACTAATAAAGCTCCATCCCTTTCCCAATACCCTACTTTCCACTTGAGGCCCCAGCCACCTGGGCCTGCCCTGGTCTCCAACTCCTCTCTGGCTTACTCCCCAAGCCACTCTCGTCTCCTGTCCAAGCTGCTCCATCCAACTGGTTCCTGGGTCTGGTGTCCTCCACACACCTCCCCAGCCCTGGAGCCTGGCTGACTCCCCAACTTAGTCTTTAGTTCCCTTAAAATGCCACCGCTTAAGGGAATTTTCAGACATCCCAGCCAATACCCCTCCCAGATGCTTGCAGAATGCTGGACAGTTCCTCCAATTTTCTTGGTTTAAAACCATGTCTATGATAATTGCAGTTGCATGACCACCCTCCACCAGGCTCTGGGCTGGGATGAGTCTAGCTGTGTTCCCAGCACCGGGGGCAGCATGAACCCGGAGCAATCAACCCAGGTCTGCTGCATCCAGGACAAATGGGCATTGGCTACAGGGAGCCCAGGGAGAGGTGGCAAGTGCAGTGAGAGGTGATGCCACCTGGATTGCCACTGCCCGGGAGGGACCCAAAGCATCCAGGAGCCACCCACCTGGAGCTGGTAAGGTTTTCCGGCTCGAATCAGCTGGGAGACAAGAAAGTTCGTGTGGAAAAAGTGCACGTTCTCATCCAGGAAGCCGTGCAGGATGAGCAGGCGGTTGGGCCTGGAAGACAAGGTGGGGTGAGGGTCTGAGGTTACCCTCCTCTCCAGCCCACAGGCAGTCCCAGTGTCCTTCTCCAGCCCAGGGGCAGTGAGGGCGGAAGTAACAGGTAGCCGAGAGAGAGGGTTGGGGGAAGGGAAACACACTGACCTAAATGGTGGGTCAGGGAGACCTCACTTCCGGTTAAGGAGGGGAGATGGTGTTCTTGGCTATGCAATGGCCTGAGCTACAGGAAAGCTTTCAGGCAGTGCTGCCCCGAGGCACTCTGGGATGCCGGCAGGTTACAGACCTGCCCAGCCCAAAAGTCACCACCACGCATGGCTACTGAGCACTTGAAATGTGGCAAAAGTGGCCATATTTGATTTTTAAAAAGTAATTTATTGGGGTGAAGTTCACATAGCCTGAAGTTAACTCATTTTAAAGCAAAATTTCAGGGGCATTTCGTGTACTCACAAGGTTGTACAACCATCACCTCTGTCTAGTCCCAGAACATTCCAACACCCCAAAGCAAAACCCCACAGCCATCAGCAGTCATTTCCACACCCTGGCAACCAGCAATCTGCGTCTGTCTGGATGGATGAATGGATGATCTCGGTGGATGTGCATGAGTATGAGCTTAAGTAGATGGCACAGGTCTAGAGCAGGGGTTTCGCGTTTGGCTGCATGTTGGCCTCCCCAGGGAGCCCAGGTGGGGTTAGAGGCAAAGGGAACCCCACCATGGAAGGCATGGGAGCCCGGCATACGTTCAGTCAGAGCCACAGCTGAAAGTGGCAACACTGACGTCTTTCATCAGAGAATCAGATGCCACCGCCAACGGCATGCCATGGGACATCTGAGCTGGTCCGATGGATCCAGTGTTACAACCATGTGGATCTGGGTCCCAAACCACAGAGAGCCAAAACCCACAAGACAAAGGCTGTTCATGTTGCAGACCAACTGATGGGCCTCTGGCGGGCCACGTGCTTGGGTAAGGAGGGTGTCCACACATGCAGTGGTACAAACCTAGAACTTTCTTAGAGCATTCTGAGGGCAGGGCCAGGGGCCTCCCTCCCAGAGCACCCAGACACCCACCTCCTGGGAGAGCGGAGAGGAGACCGGGCTGCGGGCGGGACGTGAGGCAGAAGCAGGGAGCGGGAGGAGCGGAAGCCGGGGAGCAGTGTCAGAGGCAGGAGCGCCGGTGACTCAGAACTGCCGGGGCAGGGAGGGGCCTTACTCGTTGGGCAGCTTCTCCACGTGCAGGGCCACGGAGCCTGCCTCATAGCCAAGTTGGTTGTTCTCCGGGACGTCCATATAACGTTCCGTGTACCCTGTGTCATAGGCCATCCAGACCGTGACCGGGGCACCTGCGATGGCCACCTGAGGGCCACAGTGGATGGACAGGGCAGAGAGAGAGAGAAAGAGAGAGAGAGAGAGAGAGAGAGAGAGAGAGAGGAGAGACACATGCACATGGGTCAGGTTTCAGGAGCCCTTGTTCAACTGGCTGTCCCGGGGCCTCCCTGGGAGGACATGAGTGGGCATGCACACGGGAGGGGGGGCTGGCAGGGAGGGGCCCTCAGACCGGGTCTCCCGTGGCCTGTGTGCTGTCGAGGGAGGGTGAATTGAACGGGCATCTTTAGGCCGGGATGAGCTCCTCCCTGGTCCCACTGCCTTTCTGCCTCCTCCTCCTCATCGCCGCCCCGCGGTGCCCGGACAGTGCTGCCGGCCTGGGGGTCCCTCCCCCGATGCTCTTCACACCATGCCCCACCTCTGCCCATCCGAGGCCGGGGTCCCAGGCTCAGCCTCCCACAGAGAGCTGCTGGCGGGGTTTTGTGCAGCCGGATGCCATCCTGGGGTCAGCAGTGGCGGGCAATGAGGAGGGGGGCTCGGCCCCGTGGGGCTGCTGCGGGGAGAAACAGCCACGTGGCAAAGCCCCTGCCGAGATGCCTCCCCCAAGGGCTCCAAGGGGCACGGGCGGGTGCTAGTGGACAGGAGGGAGGGCGCGCGGGCAGGACCCACCTTGAACACTTGAGGCTTGTGGATCAGCCCCATGAGCGAGAGGAAGCCTCCGTAGGACCAGCCGTGGATGGCCACCCGGCTCAGGTCGATGAAGCCATACTTCTGGGCCACGTACTGCAGGCCCTCCACCTGGTCCTCAATCTCCACCTGGCCCTGGGGGACGAGGCCGGGAACCTCTCAGTGGCTCCTCCCACTGCTGCCCACCTCTGCCCCTTGTGAGGAGCCCTCTCCCTCTTGGATCAAAGCTCCATTCACACTGCTCTCTGGGGCCGTGGTCAGACGGGCCTGGTACCAACCCTGCCCTGCTACCTCCTGGCTGTTACTTTGAGAAAGTCACATCCTCTCTCTGGGCCTCAGTTTTCCCACCCCAAAACAAGGGTGTTAACCTGAATAGGACCCATTTTACAGTGGACATGAGGGTAACATGAGGGTAGTGTCCTACAATCAGAGGTATGGCACATGCTAGGGCTCAATGAATAGTTGGTGTGTCAACATCTTCAACACCACCATCATCATCACCATCACCACAATCACTACTGTCACCACCACCATCTTCACCATCATTACCACCATCATCACCATCACCACAATCACTACTGTCACCACCATCATCTTCACCATCACTACCACCATCATCACCATCACCACAATCACTACTGTCACCACCATCATCTTCACCATCACTACCACCACCATCAGCACCATCACCACAATCACTACTGTCACCACCATCATCTTCACCATCACTACCACCACCATCACCATCACTACAATCACTACTGTCACCACCACCATCTTCACCATCACCACCACCATCATCATCATATCATCAACACAGCCTTCACCATCATCATCACATCCGTCATCACCATCATTATCATCACCATCATTGTGAGCACCACTTCTGCAGCCACCAGTCCCTGTCCAGCCGAGCCCCTGGCACCTCCTGCCACCTGGGCCTGTACTGACGTGTCTGGCACCAGGTGGGATGGGTGTATAGCTGTGTCCCCATGACACAAAACTCAGAGCTGAGCAGCAAAGCAGATGTCCCCTTGGTTCCAAAAGGCCACTCTACTTATGACGGTCCTTGAAGGAGGTGACCCGGAGCCGCCCCAAACCCTGAGCCAACAAAACCCAGACCTCCCTTTGCTACACAGGAAGGGCCCGGAGGGACTGGGAAGAAAAGTTACCATTTGGTTTTTCAGGGCCCCTTCAAACCGAAGACCTCGCTGACATGAGCCCCTGCCATCGATCACAACCACGGCGTAGCCCAGGGACGCCAGCGTGTTGAGCCGCAGATACTTTATTCCCTTGAAGGAGTTATTGACCAGCTGCACCTGCAGGGGGAGGCAGAGCGAGGACGTGGGGCTTTGGGCAAGTGGTAAGCAATCCAGTGTGAGATGTGAGCCAGATGGCCCTGATGCCAGAGGAGGCCTTCCAGCCTAGTGAGGACCCTGCACTTTGCTGTAAAGACTATGAATGGCCTGGAAGGTTCTGGACGGGGGCGAGTGGAAAGGGAGAGGGGCCCATGCTGCTCCAAGCCTCATTCCTACAGCGCGCTACGGAGAGAAAAGCCCTGCCAAGCTCTCCTCTCAGCTACGCCCTCCGTGGTATCTTCTATTCTTGCTTTAGTCATGTTCTGCCTCTTTTCTACCCTCAGTTATCTCTAAAAAGCAGACACAAATGCTGGTGGGGGAATGGCTAGTGTGGCAGCAGTTGCTTTCTCTGAGGAACTTGACTTAAACCAGCTCCTCACTTCGGCGCTGTCACTATTCGGGGCCTTATCATTCCCTGTGTGTGAGGCGGGGAGGGGTGCGTGGTGGGTGCTGGAGCGTGTAGACTGGCCTCCACTCATCGATGCCACGAGTGCTTTCCCGGGTTGTGGAAACTGCACACGTCCCCAGATACCATCCCGTGTCCCCTGAAGGACAGGACTCCCCCAAGTGAGAGCCACTGCCTTAGATGTCCGCTTCTCAGAGAACCGGGCCCGGGGCCCAGGGCCACCTCTGTCCCCACGCTGGTGACCATGGGTGAGAGTGGGTCACTACTGGGCAGGTGGCCCAAAGGAACACATAAGATGAGGGGGGCTCCCCAAAGGGACAAGGGAGCGTCAGCAGGAAGGGGGGGAGTGGTCATAAGGTGCACAGAAAGCCAGAGGCAGAAGCTTGAGAGACCCTGGAACCTTGTGTGGTCAGAGGGGCACTCCAGTCCTGGCATGGAGGGAGGGAGTGCGGGGAACAGGGCCAGCACCCACCTGGGGGCCTCCGTACACGAAGAGGACAGTGGGGTGCTTCTTCCCGGGCTGCACAGCGTGCGGCTTGTAGATCATGCCGTAGAGCCGCACATCGGACCGCGTATGGAAGTCAAAGATTTCCGGGGGCACATAATCGGGGGGGCAGCCTGCAGACAGAGAAGCCCAAAGCCGGCTGACACCCACACTCCACTGCCTGGCCTCCCCCGCCGAGGGTGAGCTGGAGGCACCCCGTCCTCTGCTTTTCTAAGGTTTTTAAATCAGAGGGCCGGGAGTGACTGCACTCTGAGGGCGTGCACACGCGTGCCGGGCTGCAGCCTGGCCCAGAAGCGGCTCCGGCAACCCCTGACGCTAGCTGACTCCCCGAGGAAGGTGACAGCATTTCTGGGATTTGACAGACAATTTCATGGTCTGCTCCTCTCAAATTTTTATAATTGCGTTCATTTTTGCAAAGCAGCACTGGTGTTTGGATCATGATGGTGAAGAAAGTCTCTAGGATGACTTTATTCAGGTAAACAGGGTGCAGATTTGCAAGTTAAATAAGGTGCCCTGGCTGGTGTGGCTCAGTTGACTGAGCATCGTCCTGTGTACTGAAAGGTTGCCAGTTCGAATTCCTGGTCAGTGCACGTCCCCAGGGTGCAGGTTTGATCCCCAATTGGACTGTGGAGTGTGTACAGAAGGCAACTGATCCATGTTTCTCTTCCCCACCCCTCTACTTCCTTCCTCTCTGTCTAAAATCAGTAAGAAAATACCTTTTAAAAGTTAAATAAGTAAGTGGTAATGTCGGCCAGGAGTTGTGGGACGTTCACTGGGAAGGGGTGGAGAGTATTTTCGGCTTTAGGTGCCGAGGAGGCTTTCCATGTCTCTGTAGTAACAATTAAGCTTTGCTGATGTGGCCCTAAGGTGGGATTTGGCTACAGCTGGCCAACTGCTCACAGAGGTTGTCCGCAAACATGGCAAGATCAGCAGTTTTGGAAAACAGTACCCTAGTCCTCCTGCCTGCAGGTCCAGGGCTGGGTATCAGGACACCCAGTTCCCGTCGCTGCTCCCCTGCTGCTGTGCAAGACCCTTCCTCATCTGTGACACCGGGGCCGAGGGTCCTGCTCCGTCACGTCCCGTGGTGGGTGACGTGCAGAGCCATGGACTGAGCTGTTAGGTGGAGAGGCCCTTTACCTATTAAGGTTCCAGGGGGTGAAGATATAAGAAGATATTTCTAGCACATAAAATGCTTTACAAACGCCAGGGCTTCTTACTTCCCAGAACATCGGGAAATCTAGCAAGTGGTAGGTCTGGGTCAGAGAAGGGCGTCCTTCATAGGGAGAGATTCTTGTGTGTTTGGAAGGGTTTGATTTTCATCCTAAAAATAGACATTGCATCACTTTGCAGATGAAGGAACATTTTGGGGAGACAAGCTGACTTGCCCTTGGTTCTGCAGCCAGAACTGGAACCTGGGGTCACCCCGGAGCGGGAGGGCCACCCTCCTGGCTCCGGGGCGAACTGACAGCTGTCTCCCGAGGCTCCGCCCGCGCCTGACCTCCAGGCCTCCTCCTACAGAGGCCTCCGAGCATCTGCTCTGCGCCCTGGAGCCGCTGCCCCTGAGGACAAGGGTGCCTCAGGGACCTGCTGGCAGGAAGTCAGCTCCCGAACCGAGTCTGCTCTGTGGGGTGCAGGCCTCAACTGCAGCCCAGAAATGACTGTCCCAGGGGCAGAGCCTACAGGACAGCAGGGGCCAGTGGGCATGTTCAAGAGGAGCTCTCAGGGCTGCCGAGAGGCTGGGCGCTGGGGAGGCCTAGCAGGCAGGGCTCCAGGCTGCTCGCTGCCTCACACCTCCTCTCACCAGTGTTACTTGATGGGACCCCAGTCCATTTTATAGACGGGTGAGCTGAGGCTCCCAAGGGGAAAGTCTGGGTCAATCCCAGAGGATCTGGGGCTACTTACTGGCTGCCTCCATCATGCTGGCCCAGAACTGAGGCTGCTTGTGTAGAGGGTCATCGTCGGGGCCGGTCAGCTTGTAGACATGCACGCAGGGTGGTGTGCTCACGCTGCTGTAGTGGCTGATGAACATGTCGAAATTCTGTGGGTAGGATGGGAGCGCTGAGCACCTCTCCCCACCCCCCAATTCTGCACCCTTTGTCTCGTCACTGGCCAACCTTCACTGATACTGACCGTCCTTGCCCGGTGTAACTGCTCATTTAAACCTCAAAACTCCACCCATTTTGGGTGGCTACTATTACTGTTATCCCATTTTCCAGATAAGCGAACTGCAGCCCAGAGAACTCGGTCCCCTGGCCAGGGGTCCCAGGTGGTTAGACTCAGATCCTTCCTATGCCATCCCTCTGGTTCTATAGTCAGCAAACTGCTACCAAGTGTTTGCCCTGGATGGGGAGTGGCCCTGTGCTTGGCTGCTGCCTGATGTTCTAGAATGTTCTGAGAGGCTAAGGCGGGTACAGAGACAGTTCCATCAAGTGCATCCGGACTCAGGGGAGTGCCCACCTGGCTCATGGAGCAGCTGTGGGAGGAGCCGGGCGTGGTGAGGCGCACAATCTCCCCGGCCGACTCGTAGCTGACCACGTAGAGGTGGTGCTCCAGGGGCGTGTCCTTCGTGCCCTGGAAGTACACCAGCTTCGTCTTCTCATTGACCCAGATCTGTGGGGACACAGGGGCTCCATGGAGGGGGCCCAACGCTTCCCAGATCTCCCTACCCTCACAGGGAAGGCCCAGTGTTCGGTGAGCAGGGGACCTGTTATCCCCCAAGTTGGCCGGAGAAGTGTCTGGAAGAGATGCACTTCTCAGACCCTGTGGGGCGGGAGCAGATCTCTGTCTAGCTGGGCTGGCTGCACATCCAGGGGCATCTTAGAGTCAGAACCCTGGACAGTCACTCTGGGCATGCCCAGAGCCTCCCACAGAGGCTGAGGGAGGGGCCATCCTGGGCCCAAGGGCCTGCCAGCCCCAGGCCCTGGTCCCGGGTGGGGTCGGCCCACCTCTGTGACTCAGATGCTCGGGGTGAAGAGGTGGCACTCCCGGCCCCACCAATATCCCCGCGAGGTTCTTAGGCGACGTCCTCAGGAGAGGGAAAACCCTGCTCTGGGGACAGGGACAGGCACTGCTTCTCTGGGGCCAACCTGGCAACATGGAGGCAAAACAAAAAAGTATGTCCTCTGACCTGGCAATGAGACCTCTGGGAACTGTTCCTGAGGACATCACCCAGTAGGGGATTTCAAAATGGAGGGACAAAGATGCTCAAAGTGCTCTTAAGACTAAAAAAGGTGACAATTGCAGTGTCCAAAAAGGTGAATTATTCCCATAACTATGGCACAATTCTCTCGTGTCCACAAAGAAAATGTACTTTCTAAAAATCCTCTAGAAATCCCCTAAAATGATGTGCGCAAACAGGAAAGGTCCGCAGGGTTTTCCCTGTGGTGCCCGCCAAGCAGGGGCAGAGGCTGCAGACGCAGGGTGAGGGTGGAAGGGGATTCCGATGTGCGTCTTATCTAGAACAATTCAGTTACTGTAACAAACACTGGTGTTCCCTGTTACCAAACATTTTAATACCGGTTTTCTAGAAACAGAGGACGTCCTTGGCAAACAAACAAATGAGAACTCTCGTTCTCCAGGCGAGGGAGCCACATCTTTCCAGAGGGAGCGCAGAAAGAGGAAGGGGCACACGACCTCAGGCAGAGATGTTAGGGGGTCACTAGCTCCTTTTGTTTTTTACTTTCTGGGTAAAGAGATAAGGCAAGGCCTGGAATGTTCAGTGACAGAGAAAGGGATGATGCGGGCTTATCTGTGAGCCAAACCCCTGTATGCCAAGGGCTTCAAAGTACTTTAAAGCAGGGTCCTCACCGGCGTGGTTCTGCCCCCGGGGGACACTGGCTATGCCTGGGTACGGCTGTGGTTGTCACAACTGGGAGAACTGGTGGGAGCCAGGGAGGCTGCTCAACCCTGCAGTGCCCAGGACGCCCCCACAGAGAATCATCTGGCCCCAAAGTCAGCAATAACAAGGGAGAGAGACCAGCTGTCAAGATGAAAGAATTAGAGCTACTAGATGGTTCCATTTCACAGATGAGGAAATGGAGTCTTAGTACCCAGATACTCCTCGGGGGGGCAGGGCTAGCTAAGAGCTGGGGTTGGGGGGAAAGGGAGAGGGAACACCTCCAGCAAAATTGACTGCAACCAGGCACAGCCACTAAGAGTAGGTGACTGTCCTTTAACCTCCGGGTGCCCAACTTTCTGGCCTCCTTGCCTCGTGTAAAGATGATGTAAAATCTGATCGAGTTGGGACTGTGCTCCATGGTTTTACAACTTCTTTCCCAACAACCTGCAGTGATGGCTTCACAAGTCGGTGACAGGACTTTCTGTCAGATGTGGCTCTGCTGTAAACAACACGGTTCCCTACGGAGCCTGGATCTGCCTATCACCGCTGGCTACTCCAGTGTCTACTGACTGCTACTTCTCACTGTATGAAGAGCACTGTGAGGGACACACGTGTGCTAACATGTCTGTCTTTGGTCCACGAGGCATTTATGCTGGTGTGAAGTAGGGACCAGGAAATCTGACTTAAGGGGACCCTTTGTGAAATCTGGGATTTTGTAGACCTGGACCCTGTGAAGATGCTGTAGCCAGAGGCAAAGTCGCGCTGTGTCTTTAAGAGATGTGCTTGGGGGGAATAGAACACACGCCTCCGGTCTTCCCTGTGGCCGCATCCTTTGCTCCTGACCCTCCCCTCTGGCAAGCGTGGCGCTGGGCCCTGGTTGGAAGCTGCAAGACGATCCCACAGTGGACACCCCAAGTGTCCCACAAATTGTTCTTCCAGGGTTGAGTAGTTTCTTGGAGTGGAAGGAGGATAACAGAAAGCTCTCTGAGGCCCTGAGAATGTGCTCAGAAGGGGCCCTGATCCTGGGCCCAGTGTGCCTCCAGCCTTGGCCTTGGGCACACTGGGGCTGTGGAGGGGGCAGGGAGCCACAAGCACAAGAGGTCTCGAGAGGGACCAGAAGTGTGTGTCTCTGAGCCTGTGCATGTACAAGAGTGCATGGAGATGTTGGTACCTTAGAGCCATGCCTGGCCAAAACCTCCCATTCACCGCTGGTCAGCGCGATCTCCTCCTTGACAGGGCACTTAAATTCATCTGGAAGTAAGGAAAGGAAAAGAGGTGAAGCTGTGATGGGGACATAAAGCACGGAGACCCACCTGCACCACAGCAGACTTACACTGTCCAGACCAGCCCCACCAACTGGCCAGCCTTGCCTCTCCTCAATTCTCCAGCCACCCGAGGCTTCCCGCTGAGGCACGGACTCTGGCGCAGCTGGCTGCCCCCCCGTCTCACTCCAACCCATCTGAGCTATGCCCTGCTCTCGCTCTTGAGTCTTCTTGGCTACCCAAATTCAAGCCCGTGTTTCTCTTGGCCCAGAGGGCCCTACCAAGCACGCCTGCTGGGCCTCTCCAGCAGGACTGTCCTGTGTGAAAGCACGTGTCACAGCGACACTTCAATGCCAGCGCCATCACTGTCCTGCCGCTCGTGCATTCCAACAGGCTACTGGTTTCCCTAGACTGTACAGGAGGCCTGGAGGTTGTCTTTAAAGAACTCATTCCTCCTGATCTAAAGCGAATGAGGTCACGTCCTCTCCTCTAATGGCCATCGAGCAGGCGGAAGACATGTGACAGAGTGTGAGATGGGCCTGCAGCAGAGGCACACACAGGGCATGGGAAACCAGGCGTGCCCAACTCAGAGGCAGGTCTCCCGAGAGGTACCTGCTTTGAGTTCCGCTCTGCCACCCGGTGAGAACCGAGCTCAGCTGACCCATTTCAAGAGGCAGAAATGAGGACTTTTCAAGTGATACTTCCCACAGTCAGGTGGGGTCAGTAAGTCAGCACACAAGCCAAAAAGCAGCAACACCAATGAGCTAAGGAAAACTCCGAGGGGGTGGCTCGGGCGGCATGTGGGGCCGCATCAAACCCCGAGGACAGTGCCTGAGACAGCAGTCACTCCTCAGTCCCTGCCTCGGAGCTTGTGGCTTTGCCTCTTGACACTCGGGCCCTCCTCGGCTCCTGGCACCCTGAGCACATCCTCACTCGGGTCTCTGTCCCCTGTGCAGGTGGCTGCTTGAGGCTCATCTGCAGGCTCTACCTCTAAACTGTAGGGCAATCCTGGCGGAGGCAGCCACACACTGGGTGACACCTGGGAGCATCTATGGTTACCACACTGGGGGAGTGGGTGGGGGTCAGAGATGCTGCGGAACTCCCCCCATGCCCAGGACGACCATGCAGAGAATGACCCGGCCCTGAGGTCAGCAGTGCCCAGAGGAGAGACCCTGCTCCGAGCTGAGGAGCTGGGCTTCCCTCGCAGGCCACACGGCTTCCCCACCCAGGCTCGGCCCTGAGGCACTCTGTCCTGTCCAGGGGCTGAGAAGCCATCCAAGTGCGAGGACGGCCACGCTCCCATCACAATTCGTTCTCTCCCCAGAACTCCGAGCACACGAACCTGCCCACGCAGCATTCCCACTACTGAGCTTTTCACCTTGGATACGTCCAAAACCCACCTCTGGATTGTTCTCTCCTAAAACTGTCCCTTTCAGAGTCTTTTCATCTCAGAACAGACCAGTGACGGAACTAATGATGTCTGAGCCAGCCTCTCTCTCTCAGGCTCTACATCTAATCCACAGGCAAACCATGTCAGCTAGTGGTCAAGGTGCAGAGTGCATCGAATCACTGGGTCAGGCCAGGCCCAGTGCCTGACCCGTTCCTGTCCCTCTCCTCACCCCTCAGGCTACGTTCCACACGACAACCTCAGGAATAACTTAAACTGGTGGAAGACCAATGTAAACGCCCCAGTTCTCTCCAAGACTCACAAGGCCCTACACGACCTGCCCCACCCCTCTCCCCCCTCACTCACTCTGCTCCAGTCACACAGGCTTCCTTACTGTTCCCTTAACATGCAGTCATGGTCCTGCCCCAGGACCTTTGTATGAGCTGCTCATAAGGCCTGGAGCTCTGTGTGGCTGCCTCTGCCATTTTTACCCCATCCTCCAGGTCCCTGCTTCATGGCACGTTATCCAGAGACGTTCTCCTAACCACCAGTTCTGGAAGGAAAGCCCCTCATGCTCATCACTCCCGGGACAGCATCCTTCATGGTTTTTGGATTACTACTTAACTCTACCATCGTGGCACAAAAACAGCCGCAGAGGACATATAAGTGACTGGGTGTGACCATGTGTCAAAAAAACTTTACAGAAATAGGCAGAGGGGCTGGGATTGACCTACAGCTATAGTTTGCCGACGCCTGGTGTAAGAAGGGCCTGGCACCTGGCAGGTGCTCAATAACCACTGTTGACTGAATGAATGAACAGGCAGCTATGGTAACCCCTGCGAGGTGTGAATGAGGGACAGCAAAGGCTAAGTCTTGCCCGTGGGCGGCTTAGTCACTGGGTGGGATCAGTGAACAAAGGCAGCCTCGATGAGCAATGGCTTAGTCAGGCTTGCTCACCTTCCCCGGGGCTGAAGGGCTCGCTCCAGTCGTACCCATTGGGCTGCAGCACGGTGGTGACCTTGTACAAGTGGCAGAAGCCGGTCTTGCTTTCATTGGCGCGGATGAAGCAGAGCTCGTGCTCCCCCTCTGATTGGGGGAAGGGGTAGAAGATGTCATGAACCTGCCCGGGCAGAAGAGAGAAGACACTCAGGTGAGGGCACACCCTGCCGAGGAAGGCGAGGCCAAACCCAGCCCCTGTGGACTCTCCCTCCCTGGCCGGGGAAGGCCAGCCCGAGCTCACTTCTCCACGTGGGGACCCGGGATGCACACCCAGCACCTCCCCACCCTTACGTTGATCCACACGTTGGTGACCTCCTCGTACACCACGTACGGCTGGACATTACTGGGCACGGCTCTGGCGAAGGCCTCCCGCTGCTCCTCATTCTCGGTGGTGGGGATGAACAGGGCTGGGGGCAGGAGGACGAGCTGGAGCTGCTGCTGGGGCCGATCCAGGAGCATGGCCCAGGCGCTGAGAGGGCGGAAGAGAAGCCAGGGGCCTCAGGGGCCAGCAGATGGAAACTGGTGACTAGCGCCCCCTTCTGTCACCGTTGCCGATACCTGACCAAGTAACCCGGTGACACACAGTGTCCTGGCTGGAATGCATGCTCCGGACGGCTGACAGCACTCCACAACCTGACTTCTGGAAACGTCTTACATCATTAAACCAAAGAGCAGTAATTTCTGTCAAATCCTCACCTACACACACCATCCTTGATTTCATACTTTGCTGTAACGTGACAATTTTTAACGTAAATGTATTTTAAATGGGGACCTATCAGTACTGTAAGTGGAAAGGCAACATCTCAAAATAAACAGGAAGCAACTAAAACCAAATGAAAGAGTAATTTCAGCCTAGCTGGCGTGGCTCAGTGGTTGAACCAGGAGGTTACAGTTCCATTCCTGGTCAGGGCACATGCCCAGGTTGATCCCTAGTGTGGGGCATGCAGGAGGCAGCTGATCAATCATTCTTTTTCATTACTCATGTTTCTATCTCTCCCTCTCCTTTGCTCTCTGAAATCAATAAAGTAAAAAATTTAAATACATATAGATATTAAAAAAGAGCAACATCATAGGGATGGGAGGTTCCAGCGAGAGCCATGGTCTGAGTCTAGCTGTTGCTGTTATGAAGGGAGTCTGGGAAGTATTTGGAGCGAGGGATGCACACCCTTTCTGTAAAGGGGCCAGTGAGTATTTCAATTCTGTGGGCCACGCGTCTTTCACAACTATTCAACCCTGCTCTTGTAATCTGAAAGCAACCACAGACAAGCTGTAGAGAATGAGTGTGGCCCTGTGCCAATAAAACTTTATTTACACACACTGAATTGTGGGTTTCATATCACTCTCATGTATGATATATTATTCTTTAGACACCCTCCCCCTCACCCCCAAATCATTTAAAATCATAAAAACCATTCTTGGCTCCTGGGCCACACACACACACAAAAAAATATGGGTGGTGAGGACTTGGCCCTGGGGCCATGCTTTAGGACCTGGTTAGAGATGTTTGTCTCCGATCTGAGCAGAAGGGCTAGGAAGCCAGTGAAACGGGAATCCTTTTATTTGGTGACTCCATGATTCTTTTTTTCCCCCCTTAAATATATTTTATTGATTTTTTTACAGAGAGGAAGGGAGAGGGATAGAAAGTTAGAAACATCGATGAGAGAGAAACATCGACCAGCTGCTTCCTGCACATACCCCACTGGGAATGTGCCTGCAACCAAGGTACATGCCCTTGTCCGGAATCGAACCTGGGACCCTTCAGTCCGCAGGCCGACGCCCTATCTACTGAGCCAAACTGGTTTCGGCATCCATGATTCTTACGATAAGGGTGGAGATAGGGGGTAGAGAGGAGTGGCCACCCAGGTCCTGAATATAAATAACCTAGATCCTGTCTGACAGAGAGACTCACTATTTGCCATCTTGGGTCCACCCGGCCCGGGCGATGTATTCCGCCCTGGGGAAGAGCATGCTGAAGGGCTGCACCAGCTCCTTCTCTTGGGTCGAGACGATCTAAAGGGAAAACAGACTCGGTCACGCTCCGGCCTCGTTACATGCTACCCAGGAGTAGACAGTCACTGTTAAGGGCACACTGTGTCCCCCCTCAAATCCACATGCTGAGGTCCTCACCCCTCGTCCCTCCCAATGGGGTCTTATTTGGAAATAAAGTGGCTACCGACGTCATTCGTTAAGATGGGGTCATACAGGAGTAGGGTGGCCCCAATCCAACAGCACTAGTGTTGGAAATGTGGACACAGGTATCACATGGGTAGTGTCTTGTGACGAGACACAGGCAGAAGGCGATCGTCTACAAGGTAAGGAGAGAGGCCCGACAGGTCCTTTATCACGGCCTCAGGAGAAACCAGCACTGCCGACACCTTGATTTCAGATTTTTAGCCTCCACAACTGTGAGACAATAAACTTGTTGTTTAAGTCACGCTGTCTGTGGGACTTCATTATGACAGTCCATTGGCTGGAAACCAGGGTTGTTGTGTGGACTGTCACCGCAAAGCCAGGTGGCCTTGGGCAAGATAGTCTCCGAATGCCAATTTCCTGGAGCTTCAATGGGGCTGCCATGGCATTTCCCCAGGAGGAGAAGGCAGGCAGGGCCTTAGCATGCCCCACACCCTAGCGGCCACCCCCCTAAACATCCCAACTGCCTGTTGTTGGTATAACGCATCCCCCTGCAGGACCCTGTCTGTCTGACAGAGCCAGGGCCTGTTTACAACAAAGCCGCTTGGGGCTGATCTGTGTTGAATCTGCACGGATACTCTGGTCAAGAGTGGAGAAGGGGTCTGGTTAGGGCTGAATTTTGCCCAGAACAAAAACTGACTCCTCTATTACTAGAGTGAGTGTAGTTTATCATACGCTTTCACAAGGATGCATTTTGGTAAAAATATGCAAGGGTTTTCTCTTGTCTGACCTCTAACCTCTAATATGTGGGGCTTGCTGCCCCCACAGCCCTTCTCGGTCACAGCCGCTCTTGCCCTCCTGATGAAGGAGGCCTGAGCAACAACTCCCTAAGTGAGGAGGGCCTCTTGTCATTCCAGAGTGAGGTGCAGTGACAGGGGCAGCAGGGCCCGGCCGGAAGCAGAGCTCTGGACGGTGTTGTTTTGCACTCAGTTGGCCAAGAGGAGCACCTGCCTGGGGAAGGGGGTGAGCGGTCTGCTGATGCTGCCAACTACCCACCCAGCTCCAAACGCACCCCTGACCCCCCTTCTCACCCAGAGCTCCTCGGGGCTCTCTGGCCCTCTTACCTTGCCTTGCCTGTCAGTCTGAAACTCGGCCAGCTTCAAGGCGATCTTTGGATTCTTGCTACCTACAGAAATGAAAGTGAGGTGAGCCTGGCCGGTGTCGCCCATGCAGGGTGAGAGCGGGTGTTGGGGTGGAGGGTGCAGGGGAGCAAAGAAAGAAGACATGGGGTCAGGGGAAAGAAGGGTGTCCACAGGTCTCTCCATGGGCAGGCCTTCCCCTCTGGTCCAGGCACACAGTCCTTGAGCAGGACTTTCTGACTTTGGGTTAGGACCTCATCCAAACAGAGTGATGGACAACCTCTAGCTGAGGGAGAGGTCAGGGTAGAACATACACGAGGAAGACACCTGCTGTCTCTGGAGAGCCTGAAGCCTGGCTGTGAAGACGGGGCAGACAAACCCATGATAAAACCACCGACAATGCAGAAAGGTGGCCCACATCCCATGTGACACATCGGGCCCCAGCCCGGGGGGGGGGGGGGGGCAGGTGGCTTGTAAACTGGAATTGAGGCGTGCTTCCAGAGGTGGATTTGGTTCAGGCTCCAACTGTGGCCCTCAGAGCTCTAGCACCCCCGGCAGGGAAGTCTCTGAGCCTCAGTGCTCTCTTCTGTCAAATGGGGAGGGAGGAGACTCACTTTCCCCATTTGCACTGGGGCTTGGAAATATCCTCTAGGAGGCTCTGCCAGCTTGGCAGACAGGAGGGGCTGCTGGCTGCAGGGAGCGAGAACAACTCTTTTATTTGCTTCGTTGGAGGCGGCAAATAAGAGGCCTGCAGGCAGACCCTGGCCCGCCACCCATTTTGTTTGGCTTACTAGGTATTTTTGCTTTTATCTATTAATTTTGAGAGGAAGGGAAAGTGACAGAGAAATAGAAACATCAATGAATAGAGAGGATCATCAATTGGCTGCCTCCTTACCAGGGATCAAGCCTGCAACCCAAGGATATGCCCTAACTGGGAATCAAACCATGACCTCCTGGTTTATAGGTCGATGCTCAACCACTGAGGCACACCCGGCTGGGCTTACTATGTTTGTTTGTTTGTTTGTTTGTTTTTAAAATATATTTTATTGATTTTTTACAGAGTGGAAGAGAGAGGGATAGAGAGTTAGAAACATCAATGAGAGAGAAACATCAATCAGCTGCCTCTTGCATACCCCTCACTGGGGATGTGCCCGCAACCAAGGTACATGCCCTTGAGAATCGAACCCGGGACCCCTGAGTCCGCAGGCTAATGCTCTATCCACTGAGCCAAACCGGTTTCGGCTTACTAAGTATTTTTAAATACTTCGAGCAACATTTAAGAATTGGGAGATTTATGCCCAGCCAGTGTGGCTCAGTGGTGGAGCATCGACCTATGAATTAGGTGGTCATTTTTTATTTGGGCTCGATTCTCAGGTGTGCAAGATGCAGCCAATAATGATTTTCTCTCATCACTGATGTTTCTCTCTGTCCTTCCCTCTCCTTTCTTCTCTCTGAAGTCAATAAAAATATATTTTAAAAAAAGAACAGGGTGGGCCGAAACTGGTTTGGATAGAGCGTCGGTCTGCAGAATGAAAGGTCCTGGGTTCGATTCCGGTCAAGGGCACGTACCTTGGTTGCGGGCACATCCCCAGTAGGGGGTGTGCAAGAGGCAGCTGGTTGATATATCTCTCTCATCGACGTTTCTAACTCTCTATACCTCTAAATTCCTCTCTGTGTAAAATCAATAAAATATATTTTTTAAAAAAAGAAAGAAAGAAAAAAAAAGAACAGGGTGATTTCTCAAATGAGTCTGGATTTACAGTTTCTCTTGAGAAAGAGGCAAACTCGAGTCCGTATCCTCACAAGGTGGTGAATGTCTGATGCGTCCCAGGTTGGGGCCCACACCCATCACAATCTCCCCCTAGCTCCTTTGCTCTCCAGAGCCCCGAAGCGGTGCTGGCCCTGCTGCTGTTCCCGAGCCTGGCCTGCTCCTAAGTCCTGGGGGCCCGTCCTAGCTGGTGCCTCACCTTGCTCTACGAGGACTCAGCCAACTGCCCAGCCATCCCCACCTGTCCCGGGCGCTCACCTGTCCGGGGGTATCGGTACGAGTCTGTCTTCCTCTCTTCTAGTGCAGGAGAGGGCACGTGAATGACCTCCACCTCGGACTCGTCGACCTCCTCGTACAGGATTCGCAGTGTCTTGTGGCCTTCTGAACCTGGGAGGAGGAGGGGACACCACTGAGGGTGCCGGGAGGCCACCCATCCCGTGCACAGGAGGGACTGCTGTGCCACAGCTGGGCCAGGCATGAGCATGAGCCTTTGGGCTGGAACCCGGGGCTGCCCTATATTAGGCCTTCAGCCAGTCACACCTCCTCTGGGGCCTCAGTTCCCTCACTGCACAATGGGGACAAGGCCTGACTATTCCCAGCACAAAACAGTGTGGGAAATGGCTACGGAGGGGGTTTGTGTGCTGAAGTGTGTATGTTCCTGTCAAATCCCTATGTTGAAGCCCTGACCGCAGGACCTCTTAATGTGACTGTATTTGGAGATGGGATCTTTAAAGAGGAGGTTAAGGTAAAATGAGGTCATTAGGTTGGCCCTAATCCAATACGGCTGGTGTCCTTATAAGAAGAGATTAAGAACAGACATGCACAGAGGGAGACTGGTGAGGAGACGGGGAGAACAAGCCAAGGAGAGGGGCCAAGGTGCTGACACCGTGACCTGGGGCTTGCAGACTCGAGCATGTGAGACAACAAGTGTCTGTCGGGGAGGCCAGCGGTCTGCGGGAGCAGGTCCAGCAGCCCAAGTTAACACCTGTCTCCAGAAGAATTACAATAAAGATCATTGTGAGAACATGTGGATCACAGGGTGGTAACAGCTGAGAAAGGAGTGGGGTGACTGGCCAAGCTGACGTCACAGGGACAGAGCCGGTGGCCGCTCCTTCCTCAGCAGGCCCTTTCCTTCCTTAGCCACTGCTGCTTTCTGTTCTCCCCTAAGACCCACTGTGGACAGACCAAAGAAGTCTCCAGAAGCACCCGGCCTGCTCCACACCTGCGTTAGGGCGGGCCACTGGATGCCTAAGAGGCTGAGTGGCTGGCTCGAGGCCGTGTGGCTTGGGAGTGGCAGCACTGCGCTTCCGGTGTGACAAACAGGTGTCTCCTGACATTGTGCAATATCCCCTAAAGGCAGGTTCACCCAAGATGAGAACGACTGATATACGCCCAGAAGATCACCCGCCAGGATCGGTGTATAAAGGTATTTCATAGGAGTATTGGTTATGACCCCAAAATAAAACCAAACCCACAACTAGAAACAACCAAAGAACTAGCTCAATAAACCATGGCACATTCATGCTCCAAAGAGTTCTTTGTGTGCTGACTGCAATGGATTGTGTCCCCCCAAATCCACATGTGAAAGCCTATCCCCCATATAATGGCACTACATGATGGGCCTTTGGGAGGTGATTAGGTCATAAGGATGGAGCCCTCATGAGTGGGCTAAGTGTCCTTAGGAAAGAGACTCCACGACATGAGGACACAGCAAGAAGGTGCCATCTGTGAACCAGGAAGAGGTTCTCACCAGACACTGAATCGCCTGGCGCCTTTACTTGAACAACCAGCCTTGAGAACCATGAGATGTAAGTAATCGCCGTTTATAAGCACCCCAAACTGCTGTGTGGTTATAGCAGCTCAAATGGACTGAGACACTGATATCAACAGAAAGGCTCCTGAGGTTTCTTTAAAGTGAAAAGTGCAAACAGCAGGAAAGTCTATTAATAAAAGAAGTGTACAGAGAGCATTTTTGTTGTTAATACTCAACCAAGAATATTTTTTCCATTGATTTTTAGAGAGGATTGAAGGGAGGGAGGGGGAGAAAGAAGAGAGAGAACGAGAAACATCGCATGGAGAGAGCCACGTCAATTAGTTGCCTCTAGCACCTGCCCTGCGCCAGGGATCAAACCTGCAACCCAGGTACATCCCCTTGACCAGGAATCGAACCCATAACTCTTCAGTGCACGGGCCAATGCTCAAACCACTTAACCTCTGGCCAGCACAATAGAAGCATTTTTTTAAATGGAGAGGGACCTACCTTCCCAGGAGGCTGTGGGACACCACCAGTAGCCGGTGAAGCGGTCGAATTCTTCCTGGATGACAAAGGTGGCCACGCCTGCAGACTTGGGGTCCTCGAGAACGTTGGACAAGCCTGGAGGAGGAGAAAGCAGGACGAGAGGTGAGGAGTCTCGTTTAAAGCAGGTTTCTCCCCCTCGGCACTAACACTGGGGTCAGCACATTCTCTGTGGGGGGATGTCCTGAGCACTGCGGGGTGTTGAGTAGCATCTCTGAACTCCCACCCACTCGATCCCAGGACATCCCCACCCAGCTATGACAAGTAAAAGTGTCCCTGGACATGGCCAGTGTCTGAGTTGCCCCCGGCTGAGCTGCTCAGGTTTAGAGCGAGGGCACCAGGGCTGTGGGGCAGGACAGGGGGACAGGTCTGAGGCCACGCCAGGTGCAGAGTTCTGAAAACATCTTTAGAAGGGGAAGGTCATCTTCCAATGAGGAGGGGCATGAGAGAAAACTCGGGGAGCAGGTGAGAGCTGAGCTTGAACCACGGAGTCAGAAAGGAGAGCAGAGATGGGAGGGGCCGAGTGATCAGAGGTCCAGAATAAGTGTCTGGTGGAGGGAGGCCACAGAGGGCCACACAGGAGGGTTGCTTGTGAGAGCCGGGTTCAGGAAGGTGCCTGGGGTCAGGGAGGGTGGAGTGGGGGCAGGGTATTTTCTAGAAGCTGGACTGGTGCCTTTGATGACTATGCCTGGAAGGTGCTGAGCTGGGCCTGGCCCAACAGACCACACCCCTGGGTGCAGGTTCCTGCCCACCCTGGCCAGGACTTGGCGCCCTCTCCCGCTTTACCCCTGTGGCAGAAAGTCAGCCGCTGCTCTTCGCCTGTCTCAATGTTGGCCACCCACAGATCACTGTTGTTTATGAAGGAAAAGAAGGCGGGGTCGGCAGGGCAGATCTTGGGGTCCATCCGAGGCCCAGAACACTGGGTCTTGATTTCCAGTGGCTTCATGGGGGACACCTGGAGACAGAGAGGCCTGGCTCAGGGGGGGCAGGATGCCGCCCACCTGCCCACCCACCGCAGCGAGGGGCAGCGCTCACCATGAAGCCATTCTTGCCCCCGTCCCGACAGTGGAAGAGGCTGTTGCTGGCCTGGAAGAGGAAGAGGCCGCTCTCGCTGTGGAAGTCGTAGGAGGTGATGCCGAAGACGCCCAGGCGCTTCCGCTCCCGCAGCAGCTCCTCCTCGCGAGAGTAGACCCCGTGGTGGGGCGTGGCCTGGGGACACACGGGGGCAGGTGCAGGGTCAGCAGCCAGAGGCCCTGGCACCTGGGCACTACCAGGGGGGCCTGACTATCTGCCCTGATGAGCGGCGCTGCACGGGGAACGGGTGGCAGAGTCCTTCCCAGGTCTTACGCGGAGCTCCTCCCCTCCTGCCTGCCTCAGGGCTTCCCTGCGCCCCTTTCCCATGAAACCTCCACGGCAGAGAGGACTGGCCTCTGCCCCCCAGCATGGGGATACCCTGCTGGACTGCTCTTCCCAGGTCCCCAACGCCAACCCTACAGATGCCTCCGCCCTCTTCACTCCCTCTTCCTGCCGAGAGCATTCGATCTGAACCCACCTAACATCAGTCATACTTTCTGCACAGATGGGGGGCGGGGCAAATTCCAGACCACCTGACCACCCACACATCCAACCCTGGCGGTCTAGGCAGCTAAAATATTGTGGGCAAGGAGAGTTCTGAAGATGACATGGAGATGGAGAGGAACATTAATGATAAGAAATGCCTTTTTTTAAAAAGCAGAACCCAAGTCTTATAGAGCATCAGCCCGTGGACTGAAGGGACCCAGGCTCGATTTCGGTCAAGGGCACATGTCCAGGTTGCAGGCTCAATCCCCAATAGGGGTGTGCAGGAGGCAGCCAATCAATGATTCTCTCATCCTTGATGTTTCTATCTCTCTCTCTTCCTTCTCTCTGAAATCAATTAAAAAAAATACTTAAATAAATAAAATAAAAAAGCAGAACCCAAAGCAAAATTACTGTATGCTGAGACAAAAGCTGTGTGAATACAGCTCCTTGGCTGGGGACTAAGTGGGGCGGGAAAAGGGGGAGCTGTTGCGTTGGCATGGAGAAACTCAGAGTGTGTCATCCCCCACACCCTGCTGTCAACTTCCTTTTACAGAACTAAACCAACCAATGAAAAAGGCACTCTCGTTCTTCACCCGCCATCCTTCTCCCTGGAACCGAGTCAACTCTGGATGACATTAATTATTAGCCAAGACTCCATAAAAAGGCCTGGCCCAAGTCAGTTCAAGTCTTTGGTGAGGCATTTAAAAGGAAGAGATGCTTTGATAAGCACTCTTATCAGAAGCCTAGGCTCTGGGGCTGAGCACAGACTGGCGGAGAGGGAAAAGGGAGGGGAAAGGGGAGAAGGAAGGGGAAAGAAAGGGGGGAAGAGGAAGGAGGCGAGGGGAGGGCTGCGGTGAGCAGGAAGCTCTGCTCTGCAGTGTGCATGAATTAAGTGGCTGGCCTGGACCCCGAGTTGAGGACCCACAGAAATGGTGTACAGTCTGAGGACCTGGCACCTCCCTCGCCCACAGGCAGGACCCAACAGGAGCAGCTCACCTGGAAATGGTCCAGCATCTGCTTCCAAGACAGGAGCAGCAAAGCCTCTTTCCGGACCTTCCTGGGGATCTCAGAGTAGAGGAGGGAGTTCTCTCGGCTGCCATAAGGCATCCCTTGGGCAAGAGGAGAAAACAGAATGGGTGACTTGGTCCAGCACAGGCTGGGCCAGCCTCAGGCTCTCCATGCCTGGGCCCAGCTGGTTCCTTCTGCTTCTATGTCATCCTGCCAACACAACCTGGCTGCACACCCCTCCCCAGAGAAGCTACGAACCCAGGTTTAAGCATGTCCGCAGTAATACCAGATCCTCCACAGCAGAGATGTGTGTCCTGAATTTCTTGAACTAAATTACTGAAGAAACAGCACACACACAACAGAATAAAAAAAGGCTCATCAGGGCTAGCCAGCTCTCAACAGGTGAGGCTCCGGTCTTCAATTTAAAGCTTTTATTAAAAGCTTTTGTAAAGGCCAGGAATTGCTCTAGGATTAGAGCAGGTGTGTGTCTAGTCAAGCATCTCTTCCCTTGGCACTGGTGACACTGGGACCTGGTCACTCTGTGGGGACGTCCTGGGCACTATGGCATGTGTAGCAACATCCTTGGCCGCATCTGCTCAATGCCAGGAGTACCCCCAGTCGTGATGACTATAGATGTCGTTGCCCAGTGTCCCCTGGAGGACAGAACCTCCACGACAGAACCACTGACCTAACCTTATCTATAAAACTACTGCAGCTGCAGTGAGGATTCTGTGTGGATTAAATGAGGTAAGAAATACAAAGCACTTAGCATATGCCACTCAGAGACATCAACCTAATTCCAGTAAGTTGCAATTTTTCATATTCTTACATCTCTGATGTTGAGATGTGTCTTCTTGTTGAAGGTGCTGTCCTGTTCTTAGTGGCAAATAAAACAATGGCAGAGCTTCCAAACGGTAATGTCTTTACTTTGGATGGATGACAATACAATTGCTGTTAATAAAGTTAATGGTAGAGCCCTGGCCAGTAGCTCAGTGGTTATAGTGCTACCCGTGCACCAAAGAGTCACAGGTTTGATTCCCAGTCAAGGGCACACCCCTGGGTTGCAGGTTTGATCTCTGGGTCCCCATTGGGGTGTGTGCGGGAGGCAACCAATTGATGTAAGTTTTTCACATCAATGTTTCTCCTCCCCGCCTCCTCCCTCTCCCCCTCTCTTTTTCTCTTTCTCTCTCTTTCCTTCCATCCCTTCCATGCTCTTTAAAAATCAATGGAAAAAATGTCACTTGGGTGAGGATTGACCAAAATAATAAAAATAATTGTTCTATTTAGTTATCTTTATAGGTAGCTTCTTGATATGGCAAGTGACATGGGTTTTCCACTTATGACAAAGTTGCTCACCAAGTATAGTTAGCAAAATACAAGCATATTTAAAGAGAATTACTAGGTTAGTAAGGGCTCCTTTAATAGTAGATTTAAGGAAAATATGAAGTTAACTTAGATGGGCAGGTGGGCAGCACTCAGATGCCTAAGGACCCTTTAAGCTGCTTCCATGTTTCATCCCCAGCTGGAGGCGCAGACATCACACTGCCCGGCCATGCTGCCCACTGCTCATGCTCTGGACAACCTCTGTCTGCAGAGGTCTGTGGGTCAGCTGGAGCTTTCCAAATGGGAGGTCAAGGGTGAGGCCTTGCCAAGGATACTGGGACCACCTTCTCCCCAGCTGATGGCCTAAGCTAGCACATTCCCTGGATGAGCTGCCCTCAGCACCAGTGTCGGTGATGATCGGCATGCAAGGCAGGGGTCTGAGATGACCAATGACTACCACTGATTTCTGCCTTCACTGCCCCTCCTCTGCCTTCTCATTCCAGCTCTGTCCCTAATATAGGAACAGCACCCCATCTCAAATGCAACCACCATCTCTACCACCATGCACTGTGGCCTGGGTGACTGGCCTGGTGGGGCATAAAACCCTGGATCTGGACATAACACAGTGGTCTTGTATTTCCTGCCTAAAGGGCCCTCAAAGCTGCCTGGGGCCCTGCGCCCTCCCTGTCCTATACGAGAGGCTCTTGTGCCCCGGGGAGGGGCAGGAGAGCCAGGAGAGGCTTTCCTGACGCTGCAGTTTGAGCCCTGGAACTTGAGCCACCGCCACCCCATCTTCCTGGCAGCAGCAGCAGCCGGCACAGTCCCTTCTCTGATCCCTCTTGAGTGCACTGGGCTTCATCAGGTGCATCTGGAAGAGCTTTCCCTGAGGACTCAGTGATTGGCTCCACATGCCCTGACTGGCAAAGCCTGGTGCCCGAGGAGGCAGGGCTCTCAGGGAAAGCAGGGGGAGGTGGCGCTTAGAGTGGCAGGCGAGGCATCGCCCTTGGAGGCCCCTTCTGTTCCATCCACAGAGTCGCCGACTGCCAGCATGCTCAGGTGCTGGGCTAGTGCAAAGCCGTGTTATAAATACTTGGGGGGGTCTGGAGAGGGCTACTCCAGAAACTTGGACGTGAAGTCAAGTCAAGGGTACCCTGAGGATATTGAGTGATTCAGACTGGATCAGCTCAAGAGTGAGTAGTGTCACCCTGAAGGAGGCAGTACAGATCTGAACTGTTCTAGGCACACTTTGGGGTCTTTGCCGGGCCCACAGCCTTTGTCTCCAGTCACCCCTACTCACTGGGATGGGCCCTCAGAGCCGTCTGTGGACTTGGGGTACCGGCCCACCCCAACTACAGACATACCCACAGGCCAGGACCAATTGGACAAGTGAACATCTGACTTATGTTGAGCCGATCTGACTCCTTCTCCCAGAAACCCATCTCTTGTCGGCTAGAACCCTAGCCGAGAAACCCTGGGCACGGATGGCAGGGCAGTAAAAGTGGACCAGGGAGAAGAACACACACAGGGGGCTGGGGGAGGGGAGTACCCAGAGATGCCCCTGCGACCTGACTAAAAGGTGTACTTGGTGGCTCAAAGGAGCTCAGAGATTTCTGTCCCTTCCAGCGGCTCTCAAAGATGTCCACACCCTAATCCCCAGAATCTGAATATGTTACGTTCAGTAGCAAAACGGATTTTGCAAATGGGATTAAGTTAAGAATTTTAAACTGGGGAGATTAGGGTGGATTATCTACATGTAATCATGCCTTGTAAGGAGGCAGAGAGAGGCTTCAGACACAGAGGAGGCAGCGATGTGACTATGGAGGCAAAGACTGCGCGATGTAGCTACAAGCCAGGGAATGGCAGCAGCCACCGCAGCTGAAAGAGGCCAGAAGCGATTCTCCCTTAGGGAGCCCTCTGTAGCCCTGCCAATACCTCGATTTCAGCCCAGAGAAACTGATTAGAGTTCTGATGCCCTGGCTGTGAGAGGGTCAATCTTGGTTGTTTTGAGCCACCTACTTACTTGCTGGTATTTGTTGCAGCAGCAGCCCAAGGAAACTCAGATAAGTACCTTGACCTGGATGGAATCTGAACTTGAGTGAGTGACCAAAGAAAGTGGAAAAAGGGACTGAGGGGAGCCAGGAAACTGCAGGGAAAAGAGGCAACAGCTCCCCACACTCCTTGAATCTTGGCCACTTTCAGTCCTAACAGCCAAGCTCCTCCTCGGCTAAATGAAGCTTGAAGCACACACATCCAGCCCTAATTTCTCCTGGGCCAGGCCTGGCAAACTGTTTTCTGTAAAGGGCTGTACAGTAAATATTTTCAACTTTGCAGGCCACTGACCTTCGCAAAGGTCACCTATATGCAAAAGCAGCATCGACAGAAATAAATGAGTGGGCGTGCTGGGCATCAGTAAAACTAGATTTCCAAAGCAGCGGCTGTCACTTGATGACCCCCATGCCAGTCCACTCCCCTTTCTGACCCTGTGCTTGCCCAACCACCATCGGGTTCCCCGTGGTCTCTCTGGGGAGGGCCTGCATCGACTGTGGGAAGCGGCGGGCCGTCTGATGTCCATCTAGGTCACATTCACAATCAATAGCACGGGGTTAACCTCGGGCAGGATGACCTTCATTCGTCCATTCCATCACTCACTCCGATACTGACTGAGGGCAGAGGGCATGACCAGGAATGGGCACTGTCCCAGGGGCTGAGGATACGGAGGGACTGATCCGGGCCCCGGAAGCTGACAGTGCTGAGCACGGAAACCTGCCTTGGGCCAACAATCACGTGTCACGCTGCTTTCAAACACACTTGGAACTGTATCTGCTCCCTGACACCTTTAGGTGAAGTTGGGCAACATTCGCTTGCCCAGCAGATATTAACTGTCTACTTCCTAGGAGCCAGGCGAGGCTTGGCTGCCGAGGGTACCCTGGAGCTGCCCACCTGGCCCGGCAGGGAACACACATGTGAACAACTGCAGATGTGTAGAATGCTGCTCCACAGGCACACACACGGAGAAGGAAGTGATTAGTTGTTAACATGCTTACCCAGGTATCTGGGGCAGCCGTGCAAAAAAGTGGCAGGCCATCCTCTGTTGCTAAGACCACAGGGCGTACGATTGTGCAATCACAGAGCTTTCATGAGCCTTATTTATTTATTTATTTATTTATTTATTTATTTCTCCAGCCAAGGATATGGTTTTACTGATTTTTAGAAAGAGAGAGACAAAGACACCGACTGTTTGCCTCTCATATCTCCCTGACCGGGGACCAAACCCACAACCCATGAATGTGGGAATCAAACTGGGAACCTTGCTGGTGTATGGGATGACGCTCCAGCCAGCTGAGCCACCGGCCAGGGCTTTCCATGGGCCTTCTTAACACTTCCCCCCCGCAGCCAGAGCCTCTGGAGTTACTGTGGCTCCCGCTGTGCAGGAAGTCCCACAGCTCCCAAGCCCAGCCCAGGGGCAGGCCCAGCTGCCTGGTACTGAACCCATCTCAGTGGCTCAGGCCCGTGCTCCAGGCCCGAACTATAGCACCCTGCAACACAGATGGGCCCACTGGCCTCTGCCCCCGTCACCTGCACAGCTGACCCTGATGTCTGTGGGGGGCATGGCAGCTGGTGCAGGGCCAGGCCCATCAGTCTGGATCTTTTAACCATGAGGACCAGTTGACCTGTGGCCATGAGAGGCCTTAGTAACAGCCGTCCCAGAGACACTGACCTGCTCCAGGGCAGCCCCCGGCCCAAAGGAGCAAGAGGGCCCGCGGGGACATGGGAGGCTTACCTAGGTAGTAGAGGCGGTGGGAGTGGGGACTGGACTCGTCTGTCTTCTGCACAAACTGGAAGTCATGGGGAGCCTTGTTGACGATCAGGCCCGAGTTCTTGCGGCTGCCGTGGATGATGTTCCGCAGCCCTTCCCACGAGTGCTTCTGCACCTGGAAGTGGGTTGCCGGGTCCTCCATCTCGACCGTGTCGCCTGTGTCGGACATCGGCGCCCCGGTGGCCATCCTCTCCGCCCTCTCAGAATTCAGCGAGAAGCTATGAGGAGGAAGGGACAGGCGGGAAGAAAATGAGAAGGGAAGTGGTACCAGAGTTCCATACACAATCTGCCTCCTCATCAGACACTCCAATTCCCCCTGCCAAACCCCACACTGTGCAACTTCCCCGTCTCCTAAATATTTCTTAGATTGCTACATTTCTCTCCAACACCAGGACGGCTAAGATCCAAGGCACCGTCACCTCTCAGCTGAACAATGGTAACTGTCTACCAACTCAAAACCCTTTCTTGGGGGTTTTCCTTTTGGAGAAAGCCAGTCCTCATATTGGCCTTCAGAGCTCTGTCCTCTGCCTGGGCCACTCTTGAACCTCATTCCCTGTCATCACTATGCCCCAGGCGAACTGGCCTTCTCTCAGCCTCTCAAACAGCCCAGACTCCTTCCCAACCCAGGGCCTTGGCTCATGCTGTTCCTTCTGCCAGAACACCTTGTAAACTCCTCTCTTTGCTCAAGTAATATCAAATCAAATCTCAGCTTATATACCTGTCAGGTCCTTAAAAACTTTCTATGACCATCATACCAAAGCTGGCCTCCGTTCATCTTTCACATGCCACACACGGAGAATGCGACACAATGATGGCCTGTCGATCGCCTGGTTCCCCCAGGTCTGTCCTAGTCAAGGCTGTGTCCCCAGAACCTCACGTGGCCCCGGCACAGCGGGCATTCCACAGACAGCCATGGAAGGCCACTGGCCCATGCACAGAAGCCTGAGCGCAGAGAGCTCATCGGCTGGCTGGCCAGCAGGGGAAACGTGCGCCTCATCGGAGGCGCTCAGAGAAGCAGGCAGCTTTTCCCGGGCCCGTGAGAACTCGGTGAGAGAGTGCAGCGCCCGCCCTCCCCGCAGAGCCCATCCCACTCCGGAGCAGCTGTGGCCGTGCAGAGGCCCCCCTCCCTCCCTCTCCTACCCACGCTGCTGAGCACACTTCTTGACCAGACTGGCCTGGCCAGGCAAATATTTGTTTTAGAGAAATCTAAACACAAACATGGTGACCCAGTTGTGGAAGAGCCAGGCCATCTCATGAGGCCATCCAAAAACACAGCGCAGTGAGCTGGGGTATCCTGCCCCTCAGTCCGAAAGAGCAGTCAGGTCAGCTCCTCCGAGGCTGGCTCTGAAGACACAGGCCACAGGCCAGCAGAGCCTTCAGGCCCCTCGGGTCAGACAAACCAAACCCAGAGATGGCGGGAGACTCACTGGGGGGTGATAGGTGGAACCGGTTGAGCATTGCAGAACCCACACGGACCCAAGGACCCAAGCACCGCCAACAACAAGCCCAGAAAACCAAGCCAGGGGACTCCTCCCCAACTCCGCTACCACAACTCAAGCCCTGCTCTCAGCAGAAAGACAGATCGTGGCCTTCAGGGTCCCCCAAGGGAACCCCAGAAGCAAAGAGCCTGGGGAAGCACTCACAAAGTCGAATGGCTTATCTCCACAGCAAAGAGTGATAAAAAAGATCTTGCCTCCAATCGCTACAGAGAGTCCAAGGAGCGAAAATGCGATCCAGGAGATGAGAAATGAAATGAAACATCGGAGAAACTTCTAAGAATCTTCTAGATGCAGTGGAGCAGCCCGAGCTCCCAGACAGGTGAAGGCTTGGTGCTAAGCCAGGCTCTCCACTTGCCTCTCCTCTCCCCGAGGCACAGCCCTGACTGCAGGCAGAGGCTGGGGAAGAGGGACAGGGCCCCGGTGAAGCAAGTCTGTGCCGGCCCTTCGCCATCCAGCGCCAGCCTGTGCTGGCCTTCTCGAGTCAAGAGTTTACACAGCTGGGAAATGAAAGTGGACCGCACGCCTCTTAGGCCATGGCCACCTCCACTTTCTTTCTGCCAATCGGTAAGCGCCTCCACAGCCTGGGCCACCACCAGCCAACAGTGTAGGTCTCCGGTTCAGCCACTGTCAAGGCCTGACGGGAGCTCTATGATCTCTGCCTGAGCTGGTGCTCCAAGAGCTGGGGCCACCACTGGCATCAACCAGAGACCAGAGGGGGCCTGTGAGGAGGGAAGCAGGTGGATCCTGAGCTCTGGGAGAGTTCAGGCCAACCACTGAGAGATAAGGCAGGGAGGGAGGCTGGTGCTGGGCAGGTGCTGGGCAGGGACAGGACATACTGCCTCGGAGTGGTGTTCAGGTCACTCTCTATGTCCCCGAGGCTGAGGGTTCCCAGGAAGCAGCAGGCTGCTCTCTGCCCAGCACCACTGAGGCCCCCGTTCTTAGGACCAGTCTTACAGAGTCAGCGTGCAGTCCAGCCTGTGCCCACCCGGGACCTAACGCACACAGAGAGACATGGGTTCCCATCACAACTGACACCTGACACGTTCACCCATCAGACACGGGGACTGCATGTTCTCAGCCTGCGTCTTGGAAACGAATCACCATGTCTAGCGTCTTCCAGAATCATCTTTGAGACCTTCCTGCCTCCACAAAAGCAAATGAGCCCGAGATTGTTAGATAACCGAGAATGACATGGGTCAACTTGGATGAGAAATTCCTACAGTTTCTTCAACTTACGCCAGGCCCCACATGTGGAAGTTACCAAACTCACGAATCTTGTGTGTGTAATTCCCTCCAGTCCTCACTGTAAGCTTGGGAGGTGGGTTTCGGGCTCAGCTCCATCTGAGAGCCTGCAAAGTGGGCTCAAAGTGGGCTCAAATGGCCTGACCTATGTCACCCCCAGGGGAGGGAAGCCCAAGTCTGTTGGACTCAAAACTCACATCCTAACCACCAGGCCATCATTGCGCAACTAGCGCTGATCCCGTCCCCAGGGGACACTGGGCAATCTCTGGGGACTTGTGTGGTTGCCGTGACTGGGCGTGTTCCTGACATCAAGTGGGTGGGAGCCAGGATGCTGTTCAACAACCCACACTGCCCAAGACAGCCTCACAGAGTGATCTGGCCCCGATGCCAGCAGTGCCAGGGCTGAGAAACCCCGCGCCAGCCCACACCGTCACCTCCCGCAAAACAGCCAGAACTTCACCTTAGAGAATGCAGAACTGTAGGGGGGTGAGGGTGCAAAGGGATCTTCCCAGACCTAAGACTCTGCAACATCCCCGGCGATCAGCGCGCCCAGAGCCATGCGCCTCACCTCCTCCAACTTCCTGTGTTTGAGTTGTTGTCCAGGCGAAGCTTCTTAACCGTCCGCATTAACCACCTGGCTGGTCAGGAAGGTGGGGAGCCTGCAACGGGAGAGACCACAGGGCTGCAACTCCCAGCAGGCAGTTCAGGGGTGCAAGCTCTCCTGCTTCTCACTTCCTCGGGCAGCCCTCCATGCCTCCAGGAACACTCAATGCCAAGGCCATTCTGATGCCCTGGCCTGAAATTTGAGAGGGTGCCTGACATTTGCCAGAAAACAGCATCTCTTTGCCTACCAGCTCTCCCAAGGTGAGAAGTCCCTGAGAAGATGAGAGTATCAAATGGCTCCGAGGATCCCACCCACACACTGCCAGAAATGGAACAAAGCCAAATTCCCCACTGTGGATGCTCCCTGATGGCCCGCCTGACCTCCCCTGCTCCCCTGCCCTTGACCATGATCTCCAGCACATTGGCCTTACTCTTCCCTAAACACACCACTCTTGTTCCCACTCTGCCTGGGATACTCTTTCCTTCCTTTTCGTATGACCTGCTTGCTCTTATCCTTTGGGTATCAGTATCACCTCTTCAGAGGTCTTTCCAGGCACTGAATCCAAAGTTGCTAACTTGTCACCCCCATCACAACACGTGGTCTTCCTGCACAGCCCTCCTCTGGGACAGTGGTTCCCAAAGGGGACAACTCTGCCTCACAAGGGGACCCTTGGTGATGTCTGGAGACATTTTCTGGTTGTCACCTTTGATGGGGTGAAGGTGCTACTAGTATCAAGGGGGTGAAGGTCAGGAATGAGACTCAATGCCCCGCAAGGCCCAGGACTGTCCCCACAACAGAGAATGACCTGCCCCCAGTGTCAGCAGTGCTGAGGGGGAAACACTGCATTCATTATTTGGAGGAAAAGTTTGAGTTAGATCCTCAGACTCACAAAGAATAAAATCCCTGCCCTAACCCATTTGGCTCAGTGGATAGAGCATAAGCCTGCGGACTCAAGGGTCCCAAGTTCAATTCCAGTCAAGGGCATGTACCTTGGTTGCGGGCACATCCCCATTAGAGTGTGTGCAGGAGGCAGCTGATTGATGTTTCTCTCTCATTGATGTTTCTAATTCTCTCTCCCTTCTTCTCTGTAAAAAAATCAATAAAATATATTTGAAGAAATAAATAAAATAAAATCCCTGATGGTATACACCCAGTGGCTGTGAGTCACTCTCTCCCCCTCCCCACTCAGTTTACGTATTTAAATGTGTGCAGCATCCTAGGACCCCAGCAAACCAAAATGACTAGAGAACGCAATATCTCTCTCCTGGGGGAAGGGGTAAATGGGATCCCCTAATCCAGGGTGTCTCAACCAGGGCCAATTCTGGTCCCCAGGGGGCATTTTTGGTTGTCACGGCTGGAAGGCATGCTACTAGCAATCTGATTGGTGGAGACCCAATTCCACAATGCACAGGATGGCCCTCTCCCTCCACCCCACAAAGAATGACCTGGCCCCGAACGTCACTAGTTCTGAGGCTGAGAACCCCTGCTCTGGGCGAGTGAGCACTCCTTACTGGGATGCCCGCACCACGAAGGCAGGACAGCTGTCCGGCTCCTGCTGTGTCCTGAGCCCAGCCATGCCTCGCACATAGAAAGCACTCAGTAAGCATTCTGGATTGGGTGAGCTTGTCCCTGTCCTCACCTGAACACTGTCTAAAGTCAAAGGGTTTGGTTGGCACCCAACAACCTTCTCAACAAGCTGGGTCCCAAGACGACAGGCAGGTGCCCACTTAAAGAAAAAGCAGGACGGAGATCATGCAGGAGGTGAAGCAACATGTCACCACAAGAAGCACTGGCTTTGCCGAAACCGGTTTGGCTCAGTGGATAGAGAGTTGGCCTGCAGACTGAAAGGTCCAGGGTTCGATTCTGGTCAGGGGCATGTACCTTGGTTGTGGGCACATCCCCAGTAGGGGGCGTGCAGGAGGAAGCTGATCGATGACTCTTTCATCGATGTTTCAACTCTCTACTCTATCTGTCTCCCTTCCTCTCTGTAAAAAAATCAATAAAATATATATTTTTAAAAATCACTGGCTTCACTCTCAGTGCAGTGTGAAGAGTGGGCTCTGGGCATCAGAAAGGTCCGGGTCCAAATCCTGGCTCTGCCACAGCCAGGCTGTGTGACCCTGGGAAAGTCACGTAACTTCTCTGGGTCCCAATTTTCCCAGCGATTAGATGGGACTGCAGTGGGGCTACTGTGAGGATTAAATGAGACTGCACAGGGCAGGTCCTGGCATAGTAGAAACTACATGACAGCTAATACTGTTGACTAAGCAAGTTACTTAAAATCACACCAAGGGGAGAACTGGACTGAAGTCCCTTTCAGATCCAGAGTTCCCACCATTCACTGACCTAATACCAGGCGCTATGTTAGGTGTGGGAGTGGGAGACTGTAGCCACACCTCTGCCAAATTCGGCTGGAATCAGCGCTCTCCACTTTCTCATCCCAGGGGGTGCATACGGGGTAGGGGGTGGGGCAGCTGGACCAGGATGCTGGATGGAAAGAAAAGCCTCCAGCAAAAGCACACAAAACCTCAGCTACTGGCCTGGGTCCCAGCCAACTGTCCCTGCCGGCGGTGACCCCAGGGTTGTAGAAAACCACTTCCTGCCAACTTCTATATCCCGGAACAGGCAGATGGATCCCACTAGCCCACACCCAGCCGGCCTGGCCGCCCCACCTCCACACAACTGACCTTCTAAAGGGTCCAGAGAGCCTCCATTCCAGCTGGGGGTGCGGGACACAAGACCTTGACGGAGTGAATGTGTCATGAACACACTGGGTTAACAGACGGACTGACTAATCACCGGGAAGTCCCAATTGTCTGCCTGATTCCCTCTACCGGGGCTGTTTCCAGCCAGCCTCACAGCCCTGTAGTCCTGAACCACACCCAGGAGACAAGTCCTCCCGGGGCCCAGTCTACAGGACCCGGCCAGGGACGACAGGGATTGGTGACCACAATGCACATCAGGGCTCTAGTCCCAGCTCCTCGAAAGCAGGCTTTTTTTTTTTTTAGACTTCCTCATGGAGGGGGAAGGGAGGGTTGACAGGAGCGGAGGCAAAGGGAAGGGCTGCTTCGGAGGGCTCAGGGGCAGTGTCGAGGGCGGGAAGTGTCCAGGCTGGTCTGAGAAGGTGTGGGAGGAAGGTGGCGGCCGGGCGGGCCTGGCGATGGGGATGGGGACGGGGCTGGGGGGAGCTGAGAAGAGGGACCGGACCTGCGGGGATGTGGAAGCGGAGGGCCCAGCCCTGGGCAGGGGGCAGCACACGGGTCAGAGAGGTGGCCTCCGCTCTCCTATGTGCGTGGGAGATGGAGAAAGTGGGGGCCTCCAGAGCCGGCGAGGAGAGGAGGCGCGCTCGGGCGCGGCCCCCCGGAAGGGGCCCGAGCCAGGTGGCATGCAGCGCCGGGACGGGTGGGGAGGAGGCCGGCCGGGCGGAGGCGGAGCGGGGGCCCAGCAGGAGGGGGCGGCGGGGATGCAGGGGAAGGAGAGGCCGGAGCGGAGAGGAAACCCACCCGGGGCTGGAGAGACCAGAGTGCGGGTCCGCGGCGGGGCGGGGGCGGAGGGTACGGGCGGGTCTCGGCGATGCAGGGTCGCGGCAGAGCGGGATGGGGCCCGGGGCGCTGCTCACCAGGGCTCGGGGCCGGCGCGGGCGGCGGCCGGGCGGGCCGGGTCGTCCCGGGGCCGGAGCGCCTCAGACTCGCGGCTCCATGCCCGGGACTGCGGCCCCGGAAGTGGCGGGCGCGGGGGACAGCGGAGGAGGCGAGCACGGGGTACTCCGAGGCTCGGGACCCTTTGACCCGGAAGTCGAGCGGCCCAGGCGGCGGCCCGGGATTGGCCGGGGCCGGCGCCGGCACCCAGGCTTCCGCGGCGCTGGGGGGACGTGTGGCGCGGCAGGGCGGGCGGCGGCGTGGAACATCCGAGGGCGGTGTCCTCCGAAGCGCGGAGGGACGCGTGGGAGAGACATCCCATTATTTGGTACCGCAGCCAATCCAATGTGTTTCCTATTAAAGAGCCTTGGAGAGGCTGAGCTTGCCGGGGCGTTGGTGGTATAGTGGTTAGCATAGCTGCCTTCCAAGCAGTTGACCCGGGTTCGATTCCCGGCCAACGCAACCCTGCTAATTGCCTTTTTCTACTCCCTTGACTCTCCATCTAAAGTTTTATGGTAAAAGAACCGAGCTAGAATTTCAATTGCTTTGACTTTAAAATAGTTTTTTAGAATTCTGCTGTCATTTCTAAAACGACAGGGATGCAGAAGAAGAAGAAAAAAAAATCACTGAACCAGAATTTCCAAGAAGTTACTTTGAAGTAAATGTTTAAATTCTGTAATAAAGAAACAAAATGAGCGAGTTTCCTCCTGGCAGGAGATCTTTCGCGTGTGAGGCGAACGTGGTAACAGTTACAAATACGGAAACCATCAGGGGCAAGACCTTTTATGATGATTATGGAGAGCCAATGTTACAAAAGTTGTTACATTATAGCTTCTGAAATGAATACTGTATCCTTTAGTTGCGGCCGTCGGAGATGATTTCCGCTTTTCCTAAATGCTCATCACTCTTGCTTGATGCAGTGGAAGTTGGGAAGAGGAAAACCTCCAAAAACCACAACTTTATTAGTTTATCATCAACACACGTCCCATTAAATAAAACAAAGACAAAAATTGCTCACAAACCCACGCTGAAACCAATGTTCATCTCCTAGAATCTTTATTGAAAATATCACCTAAGTGTCTACAGATATTTACAATGTTGCTTCAGCCCAAACCACTTTCTACAAGAACTTTCTGTAAAGTACTTTTACTGCCTACACACTAAGCTCAGGAAATTTTGAAGTAAAAAAAAAAAGAAGTTAATTAAAATGACTTTTCATCTCATAACCCACAGCTAACTTGTTTGCTTTCTCTTTTTAAGATGGTAGAGGGGAGGGAGATTATGGCAAAGAATTTAAGGTCAGACTGCTGTAAAATCTTTCCGCCCTCCCTCCCTCTGCAGAGCCAGAATTAGGGTGAGGAGAGTAAACACTGGCCTCAGGTGCA